CCCGTAACACTGTCATACACACCACAACAAAGCACTTTTTCTCCTTTACTCGTACCTATGAACTTGCATCCTCACCCAGCCAGGTGTTTGCAGCTTTAGACCAGAACTGCTGTTAGGGCAGCTCCAACCACTCCTTGTGTGCAATGTCCCAACCCGGCAGCAGTACCTTCTGGGACCGTATGGATTTTGATGCTAATAAAGTATCAGACACCACCATCTAGGTGGCACCTTGTGCTTTACAGCTGCAGTGCCCTATGCAGATGCAGCTCACGGTGGTTAGGGCAGCTGGGTTCTCCTCTGCCTTGGGGACCTGGCAAAGTAATTCTCTCTCTCTCCCTGCCTTAATTTCTGTTAAATGAAGTTTAAGTGCAATGTTTCCGATAAAATCCTTGGGGAGCTATTCATGATGCTACATCAAAGAAGGTATTACTGCTATTTCCAATTTGCATACACACACAAAATGCATGACAAAGCTGAAATGCTGTGCTGAAGAGCTGTGTTTTCTTCCCCACCATACTCCCCTTCATTTCAACCTGGCATTCGGCTGGCAAGTTGTCATGCCTGCACGACCCCCTAAACCCAGCAATGATTCATTTCATTATTCTTAAACTTAAAAAAGAGGTCTGCAAAGGCAGAAATATTTGTCCTTTTCTTCATCTTGCACACTGGCTGTGCACTAAGACCAATATCAACTCAATTGGGAACTCCAGTCCAGACACAGCTGTGAAATTCACCCCAACTTGGCTATAGCCACAGACATGTGGCACCTCTTCTAAGTCCCGTGACCAAAGAGTGAATCTTGGACATTAATTTTTAGAGTAAGGGCAAATTCGGCCCATCCACCTTGATTCTGTCTTCCAATAAACTGAATGGGATTTCTGAATATCTAGTAACTATTTCTGGGACCATCAAATGAAACAACATAAAGCAGAAATTCTCTGAAGTAGCTGTTGAGATTGAGAGGAACCACTAATTCTCCACAAGACAAGACCAAGGCTTAAGAGAGATGCTTCACCATCCATTGCCAGAACAGCACTCTAAGGATGTTCTAAGGAGTATGAGCATCTCTTTAGCAGAAACTGATGGATCCTTTTTAAATTTTGGTTTCACAGAATCATAAAACTTCATGCAACCATTATGTAATTGCTGATGAGACACATAATGTAGATTGATATAACATTCCATATGAACGTTTCTGAGATACTAAGATAAAAGAAAGGAATCCACTGGGCAGTGGTGGGTGGGGGTTAGAGAGAACAGGACACAAGATATAAGATTAGTTTTGAAGGAAAGAAGGTTATGCCAAGACCGGGTGGCATGTTTACAAATGCCACTTGTTACCTTCTTTTCCTTGTGATGCATTAAAGTCCCAGGCCTTATGTCTTTAACATGTGTATCATTTCTGGACTGTTCAGCATGACTGTTTGAGTTTACATCCATAAAAGAGCACTTCTGGAAAGCCTAGGAAATAAATACTGCAGGTTATCAGGAGACCAAGAGCTTTTACACAGAAATGTCTGGAGATGACCAACTACAAAGACAGCATTTGTTTTTAACATTCACAGCTCAACAATATTATCTACAAGCTCATGGGATAATAGAGATTTTTTAGACTATCAGACTAAGAGAAATAGGGCATGTCCTCCAGTCTGCCAAGATTGCACTCTAACTCATCATCCTGATCTCAACGTTCCCTGCAGGGAGATGAGCTTGATTTCTGATTTTACAGATGGGGAGATGAAGGCACACAGAGGTGCTACAAACTGTCCAAACTTAAGTAGGAAGCCCATGACAAACTTTGAGCTTGTGACAGTACCTACCTCCTAGTGGCTGGTAATCATGCAAGAGCTACATAACTCCACTTCTCCCCACACAAACTGTTATTAAAACTTTAGACCTGGAGACACGTGTCTTTGCCACAGTCTTCACTAATGCTCCAGACGGTGTCGGTCTCAACATATGGGCTTGTGAACCGCTGGCCTCGTACCATGTGTACCCTAGGGCATGGCCCAGACTTTTTAGCCCTTTATCTTGCTATCCTCTTTCCATTTCTCTATCCAGTGGGCTCCCAGATCCAGAGAAGCAGAACTACCACTGCCACCGCAGCGCAGTGCTGGCTGCAAGGGTGCATCACTGGGATTTCCGCAGGCCTCTGCTGGCACAGTCTGCCTTCAGTGAGACGCATGGGCAGGACATCTCTGCCAGCCAGAGGAATGATGGAGGAGTGCTTACAGAAGTCAAACACACCGTGACATGCAACAAGATTATATTTTATACCATGTATTAGGGAAATTATTTAATTCCTGGACACTCTCATGAAATTAATAGCCGTGATTACAGAATAGAATCAGGCCTGTTCTTTAAATATTGTACTCCTCATATGTATTGCCTCTTTGCACAAAATCAGGAAACTAACAAGAATGAAAAAAAAAATCCAGTGCAAAAATTAGGGTGTAGAGTTTCTTCTGGTTTTCCATTACATCCTATTTGTACGTGTTTATAGACATAAAGATGAGCTAAGATGACATGGAACTATTAGAAAACATAGGACTATTAGAAAAAGTAGTCTCGCTCCTCATAATACAGGATTTGGACTTGCCCCAGCTTACCCATTTGTGAGACTAGTGGTGTGTTTTTGAGTTAGGCCTACTGTCTACAAGGCATCCTCGAAGTCCTTCAGACTTTAAGTGACAAAGAATCCATCACTTCCCTTGGTAATTTGTTTATTTATCACCTTTGCTCTGAAATATCTACAACAGTGTCCAAATACAGTTTGTCCTACAGCAGCTGATTATTACTATGCCTTTTTCCGCTACATTAAAAAAATACTTCCCATGAAAGCACCTCCACATTGTACTCAAGTCTCTTCTGAACCTTCATAATTCTTAAGAGCCTTTTCAAATGGGGGACACATGGATATTTAAACATGGATGCAGCAGCCCAGTGCTGATCTCACTGATTCTGTACACAGAGATAAAAACCCTCCCTGTTTTCACATCTACACCCAAAGCAGACACTAACTTCACGGCAACAGCACTGACCTGGGAGCTCCTGTCAACTTGTTACTGCAACTCATCTTTCTTTCCAAGACACGCAGTTGTGGTCTGGCCTACACTTTGTTGTTCTTCATACAGACTCCATATTTCAGGGAATGTATTATGACCATCAAGTGATTGCTATCATCTCCCTGCTCTCATGCATCACTAGTTTGCACTAAGCCGATTTAAACAGTAAAGATTTTAAATGTATTTCCAGGCTGTTGATGAAAATACAGAGTGACACTGGGCCTGTAGCTGACCCCTATGGGACGGGACTATAAACACCTGCATGAAGGGCAGCACTTTCAGAGCCACACAGCTCTCAATCGTCCTATGATAGTGGGTTTTTTTGTATACTCTGTGGTGACAGATTTTTATCAGAATGTTGCATGATGTTCAATCAAATGACTTACAAAAATGTTTATGGGTATACAAAGCAGTCAAACCTGTTACCTGATCAAACAGTGTTGTTTGCTTTGACAGATCTGTTTTCGATTACATCGTGTTTACTAGCATAACTTTTTACATCTGTCCTTTAGTTTTTCACTGATTGAATCTCATATCTGATTTTCCGTTACTCTGCTTGTGACTGATATTGGACTAATGAGCCTGTAGCTCCTGGATCAAGCAGTTCACCCTTTCTAAAACATGGTACTCTGTCAACATTCTAAAATATACCTGGTTTTTTGGTATTGGTTTAAAATGAGCATTGCTTGTCCCCAAAACTAGCATTTAAACACTCATTCCCTGTTGAACTACCATGCTTAGTTCTCCTCCTCAGCTCCCCTCAGCCACCTTTCCAGACCTCAACCTGCACTTCATCGTCACCAGTTGCAAGGCAGCCGGGTTGCATTACCCATTAGCACACAAACGGGGGATAAGGGTAAACAGCTGCTCCTCTCCTCTGCAAACCAGCTGTTTGAAGCACTGGTGGATGAGAGCTGAGCAAAGAGGCAGGGTGCACTCATCACACAGAACAGTTACTGCTTAATATCCATGTCTCCTGTGCTGCAAATGGTCCCTGGGCAGCACCAAACCCACCTTTTAGTAGGAGGTGGACAGCAGGGATCATCTCATGTCGTGACAGTGCTCTGAAACACCCCAACATCAGAAGTTATAGCCAGTTAAGCTGATCGGCATCTCCTTTCCCCATGTGGGCATGGAAGAGGACAGATGGTGCCCCTGGGAAGCTGGAGCTCACTGATGGTAGCTGGAATAGTTAGCTTTTTCTGCAGCATCGCCATCACTGAACTAAACTGACCTATGTGCTATCAAGCAAAGGACCAACAAGAGAGCACTACTTCTATGCCACTGGCAGAGTAATGTACAACAGGAACAGAAGAGGTTTCAACGTTCAAACACTCAGGGAAACATTGGACCATAGCACAGAACAAGTGAGCACAGCCCGCCAGGAGCAGACCCTGTGTTCTCTGTTCCCACCGACGTTAAAATGAATGACGGGCTCTCAGCACATTGCCCGTCTGGTACTAAGTGACAAATGCTAGGCCAGGGACAAGAACACCAAATGTGCACCAATATTTCGCTTGTCCCACTTACATGTGTAAGATGCTTCAGTGGCAACCACTGCATTCTTGACCACTCAGCTCTTGAACAAAACTTCGGTGGTGCTTACAAAACATGTACGACCCAGTGCAATAAAGTGGGACCAGGTGAGAGTGGTAGACCTACTTTCTTTCATGTTCTGAGCTAGAAATTATACTGAGGCCCTAGAAATGATATCGGGCACAGGTGTCTTCATGTGCAACCCAAAAGGCATACCTGTAATTCTGCCATTATTTTATCTCCTTCCTCTTCCTCTTCATCTTTTGCAGCTGATGCTACAGCTTGCCCTGTGCTGCGAGACAATGCCTGATCCTCTTTAGGGGCTTTGGATTGTGCTATTTGCCCAGCATCTTCACTGCACTCCTATAAAGGGATGAGAAAGCACAGACAGACAATAGAGTTGAGCCTTCCTGCTGCAATGCAAACACAGAAAATTCAACATGATGCAATTCCCCTGTTGCAAGGTCTCTCTTCCTTTTTAAGTAGACTGCTGCTTCATCAGTTCAAAAGCAACCAATATTGCTGATGTGATAGCATGTTCACAAAAAAGCTTCCTAACTTGGACTTCCCTCCATTCAGAGAACAGAACAGATGGGGAAAGCAAGCCCAAAGAAACTAATTTGCAACATTTCTGTAAAAACGCTCTCAAATCTGGCCTGATCTTCCCCATCTGTGTAAGGCATGTTTTTTTTTTTTATTTTTAATCTTCTTACCACTCTAAATGAAAGCAGGCTGTGACTTGCCTTCTATATTGCTAGGAGTTAAGAGCAGCAAGACTTCTGTAGACAGAACTGATCAAACCATACTTGCTCATTTGGCCTAACAGTAGTGTTTCCTGATAAGCAGTTCAGTAGCTATCCATCCAGGACGTAGCTCTGTCTCAACTTATTTTGTGGTTTATAGACATAGCCCAAGCCTGGGAATGTTTCTCTGTGCCAGCCACTCATCAACAGTCTGACTGTCTAGAGTCTGAATCATCAAACCTTGACAGCAGCAGCCTCTTTTCTGGCTGCATAGATGACATCTCCTGATCTCGTTGTGGTTAGTCCTGACCCTGGCAGGTAACTGCGCCGTGGAGGTGGAGGAGGTGGAGACTTGCTCAGCTTGTCATTATCCTGTTCTCCATCAGTAACTTCTTCTGCAAGTAAACAGAGCAGCACAAAGTGAGCATAAGTGAAGGAGAGGAAAAAAAGATTTGCAACCCTGCCTGAATTGGAAAGGAAAAAAATGTCGTAAAAGGTTCTGCTGCTGAATATATATAAACAGAAACACATTTGGGATTCCAGTGGAACTGTCTTGAATGAAAGTAAACAATGCTGCACTTGCACAGAGAAACTGGGTCACTTTACCCAGAAATCTTCAGCAAAACTCCTGTCCTCCACACCACTGTGGCTGGGTTTCGGCCCTTGGTGTACAAGTGTGATAGCAGAGTAGACATTTGTAAATCAATTACTTGTAAAGAAGCATGTAAGGTGCAAGTTCAGCTGGGTAGCTGCTACAGATAGTGCTCCGTAGTCTCCTTTGAAAGCATGGCCACTAATATCGGTACTAGCAAGACACCAAACCTGGAGCCTTCTTGTTGTTCTCAGCAATTCTGAAGCAATCAGTACACATTTCTGCTCTGCCTGAGAGGTGCTGCTGGCAAGGTGCTAGGAGAGGAGCTGAAGAGTTTTGTCCATCTTATAGTTGGACAAAACTAGCTAGTTCAGACAAAAGCCGAGAGGGAAAATGGAAACACTGCCACCTTTGAACTCTGCAGTTCAACAAGTCCTCTCACCCCTCTCACCCAGCTCAGGGGAGCACCAGGGGCAACTACACTTGCCGCCCTTCTAAGACAGTATTTATTTCCACTTTACTTACTACTAACTATTCCAGGAATGCACAGTTTTGCCTTTGAATTATCATATAAGAGACCTGTATATAGTTTGCTAATGCACAAAACTTCAAATACTAAATACAACAGCTGAGCAGAGCCAGTTCTTGCTTCTCAAGGAGAGTCTTCCAAGAGAAGACCAGTTTCTCAAACTGGCATTCCCCCCACCGCCAATGCTTCCCCACCCAGCTGCCACTTCCTCTTCCCCACTGTCACTGGATGGCATTTTTTGCAGAGGCAGCGTTACCTTGCTCATGACCTGTCCCTGTGAGTTTCTGGTCACAGGCTAAGCATCATACATGGTAACAGCCACCGCTTTCACACTGGTGTTTACAACGTTTGTTTTCAAAAGTGAGAAAATGACCTTTCTGCAGCTACTTAGTGTTATATAAACAGCTGGAATATATATAATCCAGAAAGATAAAACCTCCTACTTTGAGGATTACGCAGCTGTTTAGGGCTAAGTGTTCCCTCTGGGCAAGTTATTGCATATCTGCCTGCTCCTGGGGCTGTGTCAGGCTCCTCCAGTGTGCCGGCTGGCCCCTAGGGCTGGACGGAGCCCTTGTCTGACCCGGCCTCATCTTTGCTCCCTTCTTAGCTCAAATGTTCTTTGAAGCTGCTTAAGCTTAAAGAAATGCTCAGTTGTATTATCTCCCTCCTTGGTAATCTGGCACTCACTTGCAGGACTGCAAGATGAGTGAACAACCAGATGCACTTTACATTAGACCACTTCTTTGGTCAATACACACAGCTCGGTTTTTAGCAACATCAGATGTACTTCTACCAGCCCAAGGTAAGATCTGCTGATAGAAAATCAGAGTAGTTCTCTAAGATGGTGTTTAGCAGGCTGATGTAGGACCTGTGCAAATCCCTATTCCTTTTAATGGGCTCAACCCATTACCCTCAAACTGGTAGTGGCTCTGACTGCAAGAACACCGAAGTTTTTTCTCACACTTAATAAGAGCAAGGTTGGATGAGAGACATGGAACGCACAGAGAGAATGATTCCTACCATCTCTTTCACATCTGTGAGACATTCATTCATCTCCATCTTCAAAATGGGAAATAAAAAGGAGAAACACGGGCAAGAGAAGTTGCCAGTGAGTGTGGCAGGTGCACAGACTATCAAAGGCTAATCCCCCTGAGATCCCTTAGCTGCAGTCATTAAGGAGAGGTTGTGATGGGGCTTGCTCACAGTCAATGGAATGACACTGGGCAAGACATAAAACTTCAAAGCTGGATTTCTGTTTTCTTTACTAAACAATTATATTTTCCCAATCTAAAAGGGAAGGAAAAAAACTTCGGAGGAAAAAAATTGAGGAAAAGACCTTATTCTAATACTTTTTTTTTCCTATGGCTGAGTTCTTCTAGCATATTTAAAGACGGAGGAGTAAATGGACAAGTACAACTCCCTGAGTCTCAGACTAGCCATGAACAAAAACATTACTTTATGGAACCTTCTCTGGTTCCAAACGGCTCAGCACTTCTGTGAACAAAATGGGAGTTGTTCATCACCAGCTGTTTCACTGAACTAAAGCATTCTTCAACAGGCACAGACAGACTGGAATTAATTTCTCCCACCATACAAATTTCTACTTGCTCCAAAAAAATCCAACATGTCTTAAAAAGATCTCAAAATAATAATGCCTGCCTTGAGGCAGCCTTTGTAGTCAGATAAGCAAACTGTCTTTAATGGAAGCTACTGATCACTCAGCACTTGCAAAAATCAGGGCATTCTCACATATGAAGGCACGAAAAGAAATGAAGGAGCCCAATTTCTAATGTACATGCTAGAGACATTCCCCATATTTTGCACTGAACAATTTTGGTAACAAAGATGAGTTAGTGTCAAGACATTAAAGAATTATTTAGAGAGTCATCTGCAAAATTGTGTAAAGTGTGTAATTTTACTTCGTTTTGTGCTTTCCAGAAGGAACAAAAAAGAGTTTCTTAATTGGGTTCTGTGTGGAGAATGGCTGAGACAATATATTCTGGCAACATGATCTATCTGGGTTCTGCAGAGATGCCAACAGAGGACTGTGCTAATTTATGGCCAAAATGTCTTATGCACTAGTAGGTAGGTGGTCTCTCTTTTCTTGTGTTGCTCAGTTTTCTAGTCTATGGCAGACTGATATTGGAATTTTCATCCTGAATCATAGAAGAGTTTGGTGGCTTGTAATACATTTAATCAGATATGAAGGAAAAGTTTTGCTGTTCCCTTATTTATGTTACTATTACAGGATTCATTACGCACAACAGAAGGCAAATGTCTCAATCTCATCAATTTCTGCTTAAATCTGCTGGTTACACACTGTGCAAAATTGTATTCTAGAAGTGGATTAGTTAAGTATGTGAGTTACAAAGCTTCTCTGATATTGTGCTCTGTACTTTTTAAAATGTCACAGCTCACTGCACCCATATGGTATTTATTTTCACTGACTTTTTCTATTTATGCCACACATTATACAAGATAATTGTGTTGATAGCCAGTAACCTCACTGAACTATGCCAGAACTATGCCAGAACTCTAAAATGTGGCGACAAGGTTCAACAGAATTTATTTTAAACATGTATATTGTGAAACATCCAAGGAGTCACAACTTGTCAGTGTTAAAGGTGCATCCAGAACAAAATGCTGGATCTGAAAACACTCCTTCCAAATTCTATATGAATTTGTCTACACAAGCCCCAGGGTATTGTTTTGCAGCTATTTACCACCTTGGCATGCCAGCACCTGGAGTGTAGCATGAAGCTCTGGTCTCCACAGCTCCACAAGGACACAGTGGAGTTAGAGAAGGGCAACTGAAGCTAGCCTGGGGAGGGAGCAGCTGGCCTAGATGGAGGGACCAGAAAGGCTGCAAATTTGCAGTTTGGAGCCTGTGGGGCAGGCTGAGACCTACCATGATCAAGGTTTATCCACAGCCTTCATGATTGTCAGACTGCAGAACATTAGAACTATGGGGAACTCAGTGACGCTAGTATGAGATCAGTTTAAAATAGATGAAGGAAAGCCTATTCACAAGATGGGGAGCTTGCTGCCACAACAGTGGGGATGTAAATGGTATAAGCAGGTATAGAGGAATTACTGGATAAAAGGTCCATAATGGATATGAAAAGGAGGAGGATGGGCTATTCCTTTTAATATCAGTTGATGGTTTCTGGGGGAGTAGTAGCAGACTGCAGAAGGTGGCCAGGTTCTGTGCTGCCCACAGATGGTACCTCCCATTGCCTCTGTCAGAGACAGACTGCTGAGTCAAATGGACTATTGCTTAAGTAGCTGAGTAAGAATTTTGCAGCTGACTCATGTTTGGCTAATGAAGTAAATCTAAGGTTTGTCTAAGACATCTTCTTTGTTCCTTGAACTTTGAAGACATTCAGACATGGACTTCTATGTTAAATTGTGAAAGAAATAGGACTGGAAAGACACCCCATCATCCTGCTACCACAAAGTAGCTCTACCTCTATAATTCTTGATCAATGCTAGTTTAAGTCTAAGCCATTCTCTCTAATGATGAGGATCATGCATCCTCCTCATTGCCTCATATAGCCTTCTTCAGTGATTCACTTTCCTTATCATTATGAGATTTTTCCCTAATACCTAACCTGGATATTCCTGGTTGCAATTGCCAGCTTCTCCTGCTGTTCTACCCACAAAAAGCAGGTTGGTCTTTTCTTTTTTAAGTAGATTTTTATGTATTCAGAGATTGCTTTGTCCTTCCTCAGCTTTTGCTTCCTTATGCTAAACAAAACCAATTCTTCCTTTTTTGTTCCCCAGAGATCATGTTGTTTAAGAGCTCTGGTCATTATCATCACTGTCCTCTTGACTCCCTCCTATTTGTTCCATCTTCCTTGAAGTCCAAAACATCGAGTTTGGGAATTTCTGTGTAAGAGCTCACCACTGCTGAGCAGATTTATGTGTCTTGTGGATATTCCTCTTCATCTCATTATGATGTTTGCCTTTTTTTGCTACAGGGTCACAGTGTGACTCACATTCAACTTGAAACTCAGTATATCTATAACAGAATGCTGACTGTGAAAGTCACTCATTCATTCCTACATTCTATCCACTTGCCCAAGACAACTGTGTTATATAGTATCACAGGTCATTTTCAGATCTTTGAGGGACTCAACTAAAACATTCGTTGTATTTATAGTTTAAGATTATGAAGATAGCAAGGATCATTAAGATCAAATAGTCTGAATTTCCACTTAACCTAGGTTCAAGGATTTCTTTAAGCAGATCTTGCATCATGCACAGAGCTTGTGCCTGAACAGCCTTTCAGAAACATAGTATTGCTTGAAGATTTGAAGTGGCAGAGAATCCCATATGGTCATAATTAAACTTCAGTGATTAGTTACATTCAGTGTTAAAATTTGACAGCTAATTTTTAATGTGGCTTTTTCTAGCTTCAGCTTCCAATTGCTGGAACTTGTTGGACCATGTTCTGCAAAGTTAAAAGGCCTCCTTACCCTCAGAAACCTTAGGCATGTCTTGATCTTCTTTTGATAACAAATATGTCTACAAAAAGAGCTTTTTAGTTTTCTGATGGTAAGAAGATCATTTGTGCTCAAACTCTTTGTGGTTCTTTCCAAAGCTCTCTGTAATGCTAAACTTTTAAGTGCAAAACTGAACACAGTATACTACATATAGATGTAGTATAGTATACAGATACTTTTATCTGTCAAAAGCAAGGTGTACTCTTACTCTCCGGCTCATGAGGAGTCTTTATCTCCAGAGGACAAACTCACTCTCTCCGTTGCAATACAGGGAAATCCATGTTCAGCTGGTTACCCACACTGACATCTGCAAAATCACTGCATCCTGTCCACAGGACCTACACTATTCCTCAGGGACATACTCACAGGTATGATCAAGGACACAGAAATCTTTAAACTGAAATCATTTGAGAAAGTAGGAAAAATAACCTCTCTTTTCCAGATATGCAATTCTTTAGCAACATTTACTCTAGCAAATCTTACCTGAGACTTCTAGTTTTTCCACTGCTTCCCCTTTAGGCAGGGCTGCTGGCTGGGGAGGCATCTCCAGGTTAGGAATTGACTTCATTATATTGGCCTGGGCCTCTTCTAAGAGCTTTTCAAATTCCTTTCCATTATAGTGATCGAGGTTTTGCCTTTTCTCTTCCCATTTCTTTTCAGCTTTCTAGACAAAAAACAGTACAACTATTTATATGATTTCTGTTGTGATCACTTACTTTAAAAAAAAAAAACAATGTGTGAACATTATAGGTCAATATGGATAGCTTCTTTCAGTTCTAGTCAGCAGCTAGAGGAAATACATTAACACTAATTGTACACTAGTTCTGACTTCCATTGTACTAGATACAGCACAAACACATGACAGACTGATAGTGGCCACTGTTCACTAAAGAAACAAAGGCAAAGTTTAAATCTGGGTCACTGCTTTACTATATCACACTGGTGATTAAAGTGCGTGTCTGTAATATGACATGAGAGTTCACTTCTGGGTTTTCCCAATATCTTTGTGTGAAACCACTGGAACTCCATACTTTTTCACTTTTACTACTCCATAATGAGGGAGATGGAGCTTTGAAGAGTGAATGAAATCCACTGATGCACGTGTTGCCAAAGAATCATACGTTATTGTTCAAAAATAAAGTATTCTTTTTTTTTTTTTAAAGGTTATTTAAAAAGCACAGTTACTAATTTTGGTTACATTTATTATCCTGTTGCTTTTAAAATCAGAGGGTATCTTCAGAAATACACGATGTAGGAGGGGTTAAGCATACAAATCCCCAGAATGCATCTGAAAAATCCCACTTGTAGTCTCAAGAGTGAGACTAGGAGCTCAGACCCAAAGAGAGGACAATTGGTTGAGTAGAATACACTGTACCTCAATTGATACAGCTCGATTTCTGGTGCTTGCACTGTGAATTTCCTCAATGAAAAGACTTTGCATGGTGGTGCCATTGACAGAGACCTGTGGTGCTGGCGTGGCTTGTGTGGGCTGGGATCCTGTTGCGGGCTCTTGCAGGGGGGCTGGTGTGGTGGCTGAGAGGTGGCCACCCACCGGCACACCTTCACTGTGGCTGAGTGCAGTGGGTGAACCCTGGGCATGGTTGACCAGGGCTGATGTGTGCTGAGACTGATGGATGACAACAGGCGAGCTCTGCACATGATGGACTGTCATTGTTGAGAAGGGGATGACTTCTGACTTGACGGATGGCACCTGGGACTCTGATGTGATTGCTGTGAGGTTTTGCTGTGTGTGTCCCTGGGCATGCTTGAGTTCCTCCTGGTTTTTCAGAGCATCAGCTGCAGTGGCCTTCTCCATAGCAGAGTATTGCACGGCTTGGGATGGATCCACACCTCTCAGCAGTCCTTCTGTAACATGTCTGCCCAGCCAAATTGAACACAACAGCGTGGCACATGGTTAGCACACAGGAGAGTCATGAGCAATACTTAACAATAAACTTTTACAAGGGACAAGCACCTATGTCAGAAACATCAAAATGCTGTTTTTTTTTCTTCCTGATGCTCTCAGTTGTGTGATTTTATAGCTTTCTCTCAGAGTCAGGGACTCAGAGTTTTAGAGAGGCCACACTAATTAGGATGGTTTTGCTTTTTAAAATGTTCACAAACCTTCATGGATGTACTGGCACTCTTTGATCAAACCATGAGTTACAGTGGGTTGATTTTAGAGAGAGAATGGAAATCAGTTGACTTAAATTTTATACGCTGCATCTAGCTAAAGGAGATGTTCCTGGACTATTAGGACAGAAAGTGGTAGTTACATAGAATGTGAGGTAGCAGTTTGGCAAATTGCCAAAACAAAGCCTTCAAATGATGCTTCATGAAGGTCTTGTCTGTGAAGAGTTGAGGATGTAAAGAGTCAACTATTTCTGGCAGCTAGCTGTGAAATTGTTGAGCTTCGGTGTGTAGCTAGCCATCAAATGCCATCAGTTTTTCCATTACTGAAACAGACTTTATGAGGCATAATACATAATTTCGCTGCAAAAAATTACTTTTGGTAAAACTTTGGCATGAATGGCTTTTTTTTTTTTCCCCCGCCCCCCCCCAGGCAGGGCGAGACAGGAAATAACTGTACTCATTTTTAAGAAAAGGAAACTAATATGAAAGGATATAGATATCTATCTACATGGAAAAATAAGTGACAGCTCTTAGAAGACCTGTTACATAAACCATTTTAGCCATCTGCCAGTACTGGCAAAGCCATTTTACATATGCTCCAGGATATATGGAAACAATGACAACTCTACATTCCTTAGAATAATGTTAGCAACAATAAGTTTATGACTTACATTTTCTTGTAATTGAAGCAAAATTGAGACCACCACCACTGACAGTTTGGCCTGATTCACTGGTTTTGAGTAGGAACTAAATCCAATGCCTATTACTTCATATAAATCAGCACTCATTTGCTGTTCCTGTATTCTGACAAACATAGCTAAACACTGGCACTTAGTGGACACAAATTGTATCCAATATTTCAACTTTAACACATCTTCCTTGCAAAGAACAGAATAAAGAATTTGCATGAATTCACACACATACTGAAAAGTATTTCTTTCTTTCAGGAGGTTTAGGATATCTTTATCCACTTAGAATCTTTTCCTGGTTTATTTCTTACTGTTATATTTTTGGGGCTGCCTGTTTTAGTGTCAGAGAATATTTCTGTTAGCTTAGATTGCTCTAAATGCCTACAGTTAATTAGCTCAGATATGGGACTGATGCCACTCTGCAATCTTTCTCATCCCGGTACTTCCCAAATCTGGAAGTGTTGAGTTCAGAGGCAGCTAGTTTCAGTCATAAGATCTTGATGACCAGGGCTGTTGGTCAGAACAGAACCACTGCACACAGCACAGGAAAGGCTAATTTGATTTCCCTTGAGAGGACTCTAAGAAGAATCTATAAAATACTGCAAGCAAGCTGCATTTCTCAGAATTGCTGGGGGCGAACCCAAACCCGAAAGCTGTTCCAGCCCTGTTTGAGGAAATTCTTTAGTTTTGAAGAAAAAAATAAAAATCACCTCCTGAGCATGGTAAGGATATCAGTCATGCTGCGCACACGTTTCAGCAAGCTGTCTAGCTTGTGTGGTTCTTCCTTTAGGAACCTCACGGCTTCTACCTCAATCCGCAGGATTGCACGCATTTTATTCTGCAATGTTGGGAACTCTCCTGTGAAGACAACAACTGTGAAGCTCAAGAGGAAATAATAAAAGCCCTGGGAACAAACAGGTGATGGGGTGAATGTTAAATAGTTGAGTGTCTACCTCTCTCCAGGGGCCATGCAACAAGCTCCTTAATCCCAACTTTAAATCTTTTTGGAAGTGAAAGTTAATGCCCCCAGATCAAAGGTAAAATTGTTTTCAGCCATTGTGCTCAAAAGAAAAGAACCAAAAGTAAAAAGGAAAAGTACATACCTTTCAGGGTGGCAACTGCTTCTCCCACTTGACGCAAAAGAAAGGCTCCATCTTCAACATCTTTCAGTGTAACTGTCTTGCTGGAAGCAGTGGAGTCCCTCTTCAGGTCTTCAACAAATGTCTCCAGCTCACTGGCAAAACAAAAAAAGTAGACATAAAATGTAAGCAGGACTTTCACATTACAATCAAATATGTGTAAATTAATGGACTGAATTAAACCAGAAACCTCAACTGTTGCATCTTTAAATCTGACACCACAGGCTGAAAAAAACAGCTGGGTACTATGAGGCGAGGTGAGGGTGCTGGACACTCATGTTCACAGCATAGGAACAGGCTTGCAGCTAGCCCAAGTCACTGATTTCTCTAACGGGCTGCAGATGTGCAGAGCATATTGCCCTCAGGGAAGCCACGCTACAAAGGGCAGGTGGGGTGGTGAAACACAGCTAACTGCCAGCCCTCTGGGGATGCAAATTCTAGAAGGGTATGGACACACTGTACCACTACATCCAGTAGTGGTTTGCACCTTGCATTTTCTCATTGCTATTGACATGCAAAGGAATGCCCAACAGTGAAGTAAAAACCCAAAACTTGGCACTAATGGTCATTTGATGCAACCTTGTTTATCTACCATGGTCCTGCTAGACAGGATGCAGGATCCTGTTTCCATGAATAGCCAGACTGAAACACTGTGTGCAGCTTTTGCTCAGCATTTGGATTCAAGTATGAACCACTTCAGATGTTTTTTCCTACCAGTGCTGTCCCGTGCTTCCTCCAGCTCCATCTGATGCTTACTCATCACCTTTCCTAATATTTTTTTCAGTGCTTCCATACTTCACATAAATTTTCACAATCCTTTAGACACATAAACTTTATTTTTGTTTTTGGGGGAGCCACTTTTTTTCTATTTAAGGCTGAGATCACATTGCTTTAGCTGGAGTTTCCACACAGAAGTTTAAAAATTTCTCAAAAAAACCTTGAAATGCATTATGTGCAACTGTACAAACACCTTAAAAGGATAATCTCTTGAATATTTATTCTAAGAGAAATCCACCTCTATTAAGATACCAAATTTACTAACATGAATATTCTGAGAAGCAGTTTAATTGCATGGTAGAAAACAATGCAAAACAAACTCTGAACTGAAAAATCAGCTACTAGTTTTAACCTGATTTTGGGCCTCATTTCTTGCATCTACTCAGGTAGCAGTTTTGCAATTGCTGTAAGAGAACCAAGGTATGGGCTGATTGCCTGAAAAGGAGTAGGGGAAGACTACCTTCTGCATCAACTGCAAGTCTTGCATTTCCACTTATTTCCCTTGCACCAGCACTGCCATGCAAATCCAGCACAAAATCACTTATTTCAGCCAGGTCACTTCCTAGATCCATCTCAGTGGACAGGTGACATGGGGAGGAAAAGAGAGGAGTAGGTGGCCAATAACAGGATAAAAAGGAGAAAATCCCTTGCAGCACCACTCCGCATTTAGGTCAATTTAAAGTGACACAGCCACACAGAACAATAAATGGCAATACAACAGCACTTCTGATATATGGAGAAACGGAAATGGTATCAGGATCTGAACATCAAGTGCACACTGCAAAGAGTTCATTTCAATCCAAAGACTAAGAAGAACTTTGGAAACTATAAAACAATCTTGAATTAAGAATCATAAGTTGCTTCTGAACAGATCACAAACAAGTAGAGGTAAATGATCCTGTTCCCATTTTAAGACCACTTCTTCCAAAGACTCTGCCTTCAGAAAGCTGGTAGAGTCACAATTTCCACTGGCACCAGCATACTGGCAGGAACCAATCCATTGGACCACACGATGGCAGCAAGGGAACGTTTCTCACGGTATTTTTCCAGTGAAGAGGCTGCAATAATGCATATCTGCATATCCTCCGTCTCTGTATCTGGCTGTCTTTGCAATAAAGGCCACAGATACAGTCTAGGAAGGAGCTGGAAAAAGAATCCTGCTTTCTGTCACTCACTATGATGCAAAGGCTTCTGCCCCTCTGAACGGTGCTCTACAGTGATGCATCCTCCCTACTCTTAATGCTCTGATACCAGTACTCAGGTTAGGCAGTGCTGCTTTGGGAATCACAGGGTATCCTCCCTCCCTTTTGCAGCACTGGGAAGGGAGCTTCTTAGATATTCACATCCAGCAGGCAACAAAAAAGGTAGGGGAAGAAACTTAAATTTGTTCATGGGTGGAAAGAAGAGAAAGGAACAAACACAGAATGATGTTATGATGTTTTGGTAGGTTTACGCTTGTTGGAAATGTAGGGATAAAGGAAAGACTTCCAGGTAGCTGACGATGACTTTCTTTCCCCTTTGTTCTTTGAGCAGAAATGGAAGGGTCATCATAAACCCCTTTGATTACATACAGTGATACTATCAAACAAGACAACTGATCCTGAAATTACTCAAGGATAGTGTTTTACACTGCCTCATGTTGGTAAATACAAGGGAGAAGAAGTTTCAGCCCTCTGGAGTCAAAGTTTGAAACAGGTCCAGTGGTCTGTAGCATTTCTTTTCTGTAAATGGGGAAACACTGGGCTTTATAGATTGCACTGAACAAACCCAATTAACAAGACACTCACATTAATGCAGTTTCAGAAGGCTAATACAAGATAAATGATTTTTCCTCATCGATGTTTTACACAGTGGAGCTGAGGCAAACTCTTACACTGAGATCTTTCTTTAGGCAAAAAAGCATCAGAAGATCTGTCTCAGATTGCAGCATCAGTGGAACAGGTTACAAAACAAACTGACAAAATTAATAGTAACAAATCACCCAGGCCAGATGGTATTTGCCCTGGAGTTCAATAGCAACTTGGGGGTGAAACAGTTGAACTATTAATGCTAAGCATCTAACTTCTGGATTAAAATTGCTTTGGCACTTCCACAGAGTAGTGGAAAGTGCCACAGATGATACAAATAAATTTTTTAAAAGGGGATGGGAAAAAAAGAGCTCTAGTGAGACTGACACCTACACTGGTGTAACTGACAGATATCGAAATAAAGCATAAGCAATAAAGAATTAGTGGACCAATGGATATGCTGTGTTAGGGAGGAATTAATGTGATTTGTGTAAAGAGAAGGTAAGCCTCACAAATCCACAAGGAAGCAACAAAAGCATGGGGACAAGCTATAGCCCAAAAGGATTTCAGCAAAGTATTTGAGCAAAAGCTTTCAAGAAAGCAAAGTTGCCATGGGACAAGAGAGGTATTTTCTCATGGGTAAAGTACTGGAAGGGATCAATGAACAGCTTACTCAATGAATGTAGTTTGCTGGTAGGTTCCACAGGGATCGGTGCTAGGGCTGGTGCTTTTCAACATATTATAAATTATTTAGAAAAGAGGGTGAATAGTATAGCAAAAAAACCTCAAAAGGATATTAGATTATTCAGAGGAATTAAATGAAAGGTGATTGCAGATGGCTGCAGATGGACCATCTGATACTAACTGACCAGGAAAAAGCAAAGACTAAATTAACTCCTGATAAATGTAAAGTATTATTTACATATTTTATTATTTCTCCTAATGAGGAGAAATAAAAACAAAACCAATACCACCTAAAACCAACAACCTCCCAAAACCCTAAGTTTTCATACATAGTAATGAACTTTGAACTGACAATCATCCACTGTGAGTGAGATGTTGTTGGATTTCCCTGGATTTACCCCTGGAGGTGTTCAAAAAACATTTAGATGTGGCGCTTCAAGATATGGTTTAGTGGGTTTAGCAGGCATGGTGGCATCGGGTATACGGTTGAACTTGATGATCTTTGAGGTCTCTTCCAACCATAATGATTCTATGATTCTATGATTTGTAAGGGAAAGCTTATGTGGAACATGAGGCCATTACCATGCCACTGTATGAAGTCATGGTGTGCCCACATCTGATACAGCTGTTGCAGGGCTTTCCTCTCTCCCCATCCCCATTTCACAGATGTACACTAGAGTTAGGAAGGGCATACAGAAAGGCAACAGGATGACAGCATGTATAGAAAGGCTTCTACAAGAGGAGTAACTAAGCAGACTAGGACTTTTCAGGCTGGAAAAGGCATGACTGGGAGAAAAGGAAGTGGAAAGGGAATGGGGGAGCGTCTATAACATCATGACTAGCATGGCGAGAGTGAATGTTCTGCTGTGCATGATTTAAGAGTTTGAGGATTGATAGACACATGAAAAATTCAAAAACAAACAAAAAGGGGTTCTTTCTACCCCCAAAATAATTACTCTATAGAATTCATTGCACCTAGATGCTGTACACAAGAAAGTTTACATAAATTTTTAAAAACATGTAAGTTCATGAAAAGTAAGCAACCCATGCAGGGTGTTTGTATATGAAGACACCATCTCTGACTTGGAAAATCTCTGAGCTACAAGTCACTAAAAGTAAGAAGATGTACTCTGAGCATTTTGCCATGTTATATCCTTTCCCAAGTATCTGCTACTAGTGGCTCTCCAAGTCTGCTAAGTGGACTTTTCTTTTTACTGAGCATGGTTATTCTTATAAAAAAGTCTGATACTTTTCCTAACAAAAATACAAATTGTAACTTACTATGGATCGTATCCAATTAGGCAGATTGGATGTGGCTATAATTTAAATACTATGCTTATAAAACTCCGTCTATTAAAGTACTTACAATAATCTACAACATAACAATAGTAATACCTGTAACATGCTCCTCACAACATAAATACTTCATTAGTCAATGTGTCATATCATCACAAATTGTCCTTGGTCTGGTAAATTTTAAAGCTAGTATCTACAACCCCAAAAGTGTCATATATGACATCTCTAATGTTGAATCAAAAGACTAGATAGGAAAAACCCTACCCAGTTAATTCCAAGTGTGCATTTCACTCTTACAAGTGTGCATAAACACTATGTTTAACCGTGTTCCTTAGATTTCATTAGGTATCTCTGAACTGTAATCCCACTACAGCTGTGACACACATGGTCACACTTCTGTAGGCACCATCATGAATAGCTGCTCAACAGAAAACTTGCTCTGAAATGTACACTGACATTTCTGCTGTTTACAACATGAAACCGTCAATATTTTTAGTTATTTCCCAGTGATAATCTTCAGAATTGCAGAAAGGAGAGCTTTTTAAGCTGAGATTTACCACTTCAGAGTAGTAAATATGCTTTTGTAAGTATTGCAGAAATCCTTAAGCTCCCTTGTCTTGCATGAGGCCAGTCTACTGATTTAGTCCTATAATTTAGGAAAGGTCAAAAGGGCAACAGTTGAAATACTAAGAAATGGTAATTTTTTTTCCCTGTTGCTTTGCACTTGTTTATACATCTGCACTGGGATCAGCTTAATTGAAAGTGTCTATACAGAATGTTAACCTTTTTCTGAATACTGCCAGTGACATTTGATGTGTAATTTTGCAATGTATGCTCTTCACTAGTAACAGCCATCAGCTGTTGAACTTAAAGCATTGTTGTCAGATGTGCTTTTTCTTTTGGGCTCTGATCCTGCAAACGTGCAAATACATGTCAAAGAAATCTCATTGGACACAACTGATGAAAAAGAATTGTTTGTGATTTGATGCTTGTTTCTAGCATGTCTCTAAAATGGTTGAACTCACATTTACAGCCTATGAATGATCTAAGAAAGACATTTTCCTGTAACATTAACAAATGAAGTAGCACAGAAGCAGCAGAAACTCTGTGAACAGAAGAAATTCCAAACACTGATAAAACAGAACCATATTGCAATCAAAGTCATATCCTAAATGAACAGCTGTAACAACTAATGCCATTTGTACTTGACCTCATTCAGTATCCATTTTATGAGGCAATGCAGTAAACAGCCATCACACAAATTGTTCTTTCCACAGAGAACAAACAATCTAGAAACTAGGCAATGAGGTACAAAAGAATAAAGTGATGAACAGGAGGGTAATTACTTAAGACTACAACATAATGTTATTTAAGACTACAAACCAGCTGAGAGGATTATATACGCTAGCATGGACTGTTACTGCACATTCAACTTTTCTTCACAGAAAACATACACTCCCTTAGTAACACTCCACTTTGTCTTTACAGATGCACCATCTTCATTACAAATCTTATTCATCTGACAACACATTGATCACCAGGAAAGATTTACTTTCCTTAGCTGTCAATAACTGTACTTCTATGGCTCTTCAATCATCATTTCCAACGACAAGCTGACTAAAAAGTTTCTCTCTATTATGGAGCAATTCTTCAGGTGTGAACTAAATGCAGTAATCAGAAATAATTAGTTGTATAGCATCTTACAAATGTGAGTGTTAGAACTAGTTAAATTGTTTATTGATTTTAGCTTCATCTTGTCTCCTGCTGACTCCAAACATGGACTAAAACAAACAACTGGATCCGACCAGTCTTGGTAGGCTGAAGTTTTGAGGAAAAAAATGAGTCTTCCAAAAAGGCTTTACACAACAACAAAAAAAGATAAGCATTTTTATCTGCAGTTAAGTTTATGGAAATCCCAGTGAGTAAATTTTAGATGGAGACTGGCATTGCTGACTGCAATTAAATTTCAGTCCTCTATTTATGAGCTTCCCCACCTCTCCCATGCAATAGCCAAAGCACTTACTATGGAAATCTGATTTTTGTACTTAAAGCCAAACTCATTACATTTCTTTGCATCCATTTGTTCTTGAGGAAATTCCTCCCTCCTTCGCTGAAGCGTAATACAGAAAGCTGAAGGTGAGAGCTAGGGTAGGGGGCGGCTTTCAGAAGACAGAAGTGGTCATGGTCCTTACAGTCATCTGTCCCTTTACAGGGGACTTCTGAAGAGGTTAAAACTCTTTGTACTAATGGGGCTTACACAGTGGGCTGTGCTAAAAAGGACTCCCAATCAGGACCAGTGATTTGTACAACACAGACACAATTTTAGGGCCAATATGAGTGCAAGGAAACGCAGCTAAAACAGCATACACACGTTCAGTTTCACTGAAGACAGTGGTGAAAGCTACTACTTTACGGAAGAAAATGCCAGGCAAAAGCAACACTGTAAGAGGTTTCTCAACCCACCATAACTTCTTTACAATCTTTTCTTCCTCATTGAGGTATTTCTGCCTTTCTTGTTCCACCAGGTTGCGCTGTCGCTGCACAGGATCTTCAAGCCTCTTCACTGTTTCAATCACTTTGCCACTGATTTCCAGCTCTGCTTTCTTCACCATTGCCCTCAGCATCTCCTGGTTCTGCAGCTGTTGCACAAAAGAAATCAACTTCAATTTTTCCTGCTTGACTGACATCCTTGGCAACAGAATACATTGCAGAGCTCAGAAATATGTTGGGATAAACACAGCCCTACAGCGAGCGAGTTTTTACCACCTTCTTTCCCTCTTTAACCTTACCTATAAACATTATTCCCTGAGGAAGTGTTGGGGATGAGAAAAGCCTAAATCTGATTAACTTCTAATGTATATATCTAACTTCCAGTTGCAAGCTGACAAACAAAATATGTTGGGGTCAGTACACCACCTTCAGTGCATAACTTCTGCAGGAATTGTGGCCCCTTTATTCTGCTCAGTCCAGTACGAATCAAGAATTAATCACACCTCACGAGAATGCTGGAAGCTTGACTTCCACTTTGCATGTATCTCATAAGCCTATGCATCGCACTGCCCATACGTGCCTAGTGGATAATCCTACACATTAATGTCAAGGCTGGAATGCTCTGCTGTTCTCAGAGTGGAATTTTTCAGTCTCTCAAGTGACAAAGGAAGGATCGTGCCATCTGATGTAATTTGGTACAGATATACAGCTCATCTGCAATACATAAAATCTCCCTTACCAGCCAGAAAAACCCCCCTTTATAATATGGTAATTTTCTGAGAACTGTAAAAGTCACACCTTCTTTTGTGTCTTAGCCTTATGTTAAGTACCTAAAGCATTAATTTTCTTACTGATATTCAGCCTGCAGAGCAAAGCACAGCTAAGAAAGCAAACTAGACTGTACTCTTCTGTGGGTAGCCTTACAGCAGCTATACCCCACACTCGCACAAACCAAACCTGTTTAAGTCTTTTATGCAAATCACAAAATTCAAAGTGATAAGCAGGGCTCTATTTAGTCACAGCTTTAGGATATAGGCAACATGAACACAACTGTCTTAGCCCAGCAGCAATCTTGTACCGTAAGAAAACACCTGTGTCAACTGGGAGACGAAGTTGCAGTTTTAAAACCAGCAATTGAACCATCAGCTGTCTTCTAACAGCCAAATCACATTTAACATACAAAGTAAACCCACTGCCTAATAGGAAGAATCACAAAAATTAGTTACCTACAAGACAGTATAATGCAACAAGACTTCTTTTTCAGTTAATTTAAGAGAATTCATGGGAATTGGAGAAAGAAAAGCCTTTGCCCAGGTCATTCTTCCAATCAGTACGGGAATTAGAGGAACAAACTCAACACTCCTTTCCTGACTCTTCAGTCCTTGTGCCTGACTTGCCTTCTCCAGCGACACAACTGTGATGAGAGGGAGGGTAACACTTCATGGAAAGTGCGCAGGAGGGTCTGAGCTGTGACAGGAGGGAGGTGTCAGCTCAAAACTCAGCTGAAGGTAAGTGTTAGCAGTCAGGGAAAAAAATGAAGCTGGAAAACATTTGAAACAGCACAGATTTACAAACATTGTCAGCTGTTTTATACCAGACTGGATTCTTTTGAAGACAGTGCATATGTGTATTTTTTCCCACTATGGGATTAATGTTTGGATTTGATAAATTAAAACTTCTTACAGCGAGGCCAGCACAGCTGAGACACACATCTCTTTCATTGTGCCATATTTTTAAGAAGGAAAACATTAATGAATGAATAAATGAGTGAATGAGCATGCAATGCTTCAGTCAGACAGTTTGTTCACAGCTCCTTAAAAAGTCGGGAAATTTGACACAGGGAAGTGACTTGAGATATGTGAAAGAACTGATCCAAGGTCAGTGAGAAGGTCAGTAACAGAGTCAGACTTAAGCCTCAGGTGTCCAGAATTTAAGTCCTCTATGTTCCTCACCTGGTAACAATGACTCCCAGTAATACCAAAATTGAGTATGTGCGAGTGTATGAGGTTATGCAATGGCAGGTACACTTTTTTTCCTGTTATGGGGGTATATAGAGGATCTATATTTATTGTACTGACACCTACAGCCAAGGTGCTTGTCACTTCCATTTATGCAGTGCTTGAACAGTACTAGAATGTTTCAGTCATAAAAGTTCTTCTATTTCTGATAACAAGGTTAGGGAATACAAATATAACTAGGCAATATTTCAAAAATCTTGTATGTTGAGGACTCTCAAACCTCAACGTTTGGAGTGAGCTCTTGAAGTCTGGGAAATGACTCATCTTGGTATCAAAGAGATGTTTTTGCCATTTCTATCAAAATTCATGCAACACTTGGTTAGTTCTGGAAAACCTGCTTTTGTTCATGCTTGGGAAACAGGGACAGAAGATAAGAAGGGAGAGGTACAGGTAGGTGCAGAGAGAGAAGAGAAGGAACCAGGGGAGAGGAGTAATTGTGGGTTTAAGCAGGGCAGAGTCACCAGCCAAAGGACAACATGAGGCAGGACAAGCAAGAGCAGAGGGGAAGAGCTGTGGCTGAGGAAGAGGAGGCAGTCTATGGCTGCTACAGCACATTTACCTCCACATTCTGGAACTGAACTTGATTCTTACCTTTCTTCTGCCAGCAAGTATCAGATCTGAGACTCCCTGGCTAAGTGCACTCCCCGTTTTTCCCTCAGACCACCTCTGCCAGTTACTCCACCAACTCAAGCAGAAGTTTCATGGATTTGGCAGAGTTATTCTGGTTCCACAGAGCAGAACATTTTGTACTTTAAGTTTGCTTGAAAACAAGCCAAATAAACAATCTTAGACATTCACACTTGAAAAGAAACTTTGTTAAAATCGTGTTCAAGTTCCGAAGTCAAGTGCCCAAAGCTAAGGAAAAGCAATATAGGCTTTCCTATCACCACCAAATAGCAATTTCTTGCTAATTAGAGTTAACTTGACTTATAACTGCAAGCAGCACTCAAACAGAAAGAAATTCAACATGCTTTTTTAGAATTCTAGCATCCTCTCCTACATCCATTACTCTTGGCTCTCACTCCCAGCCTCATCCATCTCTCCAGATACCTACCTTGTCCCTCTTCTTTGGCTACTGCTCCAGCTATTATCTATCACTGCTCTCTCACAAGTACCACAGCACCACCCCTGGCACTCACTTCAAGAATAATCTGATAACCAGTTTAGTTCACTTTGAACCAATTATTATCTATGAGACAGGTAACTGGAAAACCAAGTATTAGTTCACAGCCCTGCTTCTCATTAGGAGACAAGCATGACCTGTCCAGTCGGAACCTTCCAGGCCCTGCTGGGAGAGGCTTCTGGGCCACCCCCCTCCCCACACACGACAGTACACAGCCACAAACAGGGACTGACTGCCTCCAGCTCAGGTTCTCTGTAGAATCTAATTTTCTAATTCCTGAAGGTTGTTACCACACATAGATTAAATGTAGTCTCACCAATTCTATAATGCAACTCAAAACATATTTGAATTTCTAATTCAAAGTTACACTTGTGAGACTGAGTATCATATACCATTTACGACAGTACTATTATTACATTTTCTGTCCTTTCTGCAATAGTCATTTCCCTGCAAGTAATACACTGAATGAAGGAAAAGCACGCATGCATATACATTCTTAACGCTGAACCTTAATCATATCTAACTGCTTTCCCTTGAAATGTGTTCCACTAAAGAAAGGAAAGAATAGACAAAAAAAATCCAATGTACTTATAAGCTAATGATATATACCATGAACACGTACTCTAAGCCTTGGTTCAAACCTGCCACTAAGAGTTCTCATTATCTGGGAGTGCAGAATGAACAACCCCACTGAACTCATCATGGGCTCCAGCCTTACCAACAAGTGCATCCAGGACACGGGCTGGATGGTAGCCTGGCTCTGGCAACGTGGAAAACTTAATGGCACCATGAAAATAATCTTTCTTGTGTGTCTCTGAAAATCAGAGTGCTTAAAGAAGATGCTAGTGGAGTAGCAAGAAGTGCATCTAACCTCTAGCAACCGCCATGATGCAAATGCCTTTATTTCAAGAATTTCCGGTTAAAATCCAACCACAGACTGAAACAGTTTTAACTTCTTGGTTGCATCTGGTAACGGTGTGTGAATCTGGATCAATTGCTGCTGGACATGTTTTTAAAAAAAGATTTTACTAGCAGAGACAAAGGCTAGATGAATGAACAGGTCTTTTCCATCATATGTTTCTCTGATTCTGTTAAGCAAATGAGTAAGAACATACAGTGATATCATCAATTGAAAATTGAATCATAGACAGTATTAAATATAGTTTTATGTCCTGTTTTTGTTTCTTAGTTATCCTGCCAACTTTTGTGCCTGTGCAATTATCTTTTTCAGTTCTTTGGAAGTATTTCTTTTTGTCTGTCACTGTATGAAGAAATGATACAAGCAGAAAAAACTGACTGCCAACCCAGGAGAAACAGTGAAAGTGAAAAATATGAAGTACTGTCAAATATATTATGCAAACAGCCTGGAAAAACAGAAAAATACTTCTCCCTTTTACTTAGAATTATTTTCCAAAAAACACAGTGCAAAATTCTTTCATTAGACGTGTGATATTCCAACACTCTTCAGTTTAGAACACTACCTCTTCCACTTGCTGCCCTACAAACCGTGAGCTGTTTTTCAAAATAATTCCACCCATTCAGGAAAGCCATGACAAAAACTCACTGTCATGAATGTAATTTATATGTAATACACCAGTTTCCCTTGAGCTACCAGTTCTTCCATCTGACTGTCACAAATTTCCCCACTTCCTACTGGCACAATGCACCAAATTTGCTATCATTTCTGAAATAAGGGAAGTCAGCCAGAGTTCATGTCCTTTTTTCCTTCTCAAGACTTCCTTGGCAACATTGATTTCTGCAGATGGTACAAGTTTCTTCACTCCTGTGCGCCATAATACTGTATCTGATCAAAAGCAAGGTTACTGCTCTGAGCAGGGCCGTGGAGACAAGGTGCAGCTGGGGAAATGCCACCTCCTTGGTGAGCAGGCCCTGTGAGAACGATGTGCTTACTGCCTCCAGTGTAGCACTGCAACCTCCATCCCACTTTACAAGGCCACATGCTAAGCACAGCTGGTGGCCAGACTGCAGGCATTTGCCAAGAGCTGCATTTGGCATGTGGGGTTACAGAAGGACAGAGAGGTCGCAATGGTTTGCAGCACAAATGTGGAAGAATATGCACTTTTATACATAATGTGCCAGGGCAGAGATCCCAAGCCAGAGTTTTGAAATTAGATGGGGACCATGACCGCTGGCATGTAGGCAGTACTGCTGGGAACTGCTTTTGAAAGATATGTTTGCTGTAGGAACCTACTCATCCTAAACTGAAAATGTAAATACATAGGTGCTCTATCACAGGCAGAGATCACGTGGCTGACACAATAGTTTGCTCCAAATACCTTCTGCCACCTCTTCATTAACAGCAAACTGTGCACAGGATCTTGCCACAGCATCTTCAGTCTTAGCTTGATGTTTACCCTGATGTTTGTCTCACTCTTCTGCTCGCTTGCCCTATGACAGGTTCATAATTCAATTTCCTTTAGTTAAGGAAGTGAAGGCAAAAAGTGTTCTGAATTCTGATCTGTATTACCATTATTCTGTTCTAAAATCAGCAAATCAAAGGAGACTGACATAGTACCATTCCCATATTCAAAACCACCCTGGTCGTAATAGCAGTAGCTGCAGCCCTACAATACCAAACATGTGATGTCACTCTCCAGGCAAGTAATACTGGCAGAGCATTGAAGTTTCCCCTGCTGTCCACTTTGTCTTACAAGAAATTGCTTTACCTCCTTTTACATCCTCTGAGTCAATACACAGTGGTCTTCAGTTTCCAATTAAGTGAAGGGCTGAAGATCTGTACAGCTGCATATACTTATTTTCCCAGTGTCTGAGATGAACAGCATATATTTACGTTTGCAGCATGACAGTATGTGTCAACAGAACATTTTGGTTAAATCTTCATTGTTCGTATTGTTTTTTGCAGGTTTTGAGGTGTTGATGTGTGTTAGGAAGGTATGGGTAAAATGTGAATGTAAACAAGGCACAACAAACCTTTGCAGCAACTTTTGAAATATCTTTTTTCCTTGCTGCTCAAGCTGGCTATTCTTGTGGATTCTGTAAATACAGGACTCAAACTCTAGCTTAATGCATTACCTACTGATCCTCAGCTACATTTGGGCTTCCTGACATCAAAGTTGTTTATTCAGGAACTTAAAAACTGTCTCAACTGTAAACAGTATGGAGCAGGAACATGGCTCTTCCAACATGTTTATATAGCATGTAGCATAGCAGGGTCCAAACTGTAATCACAGACTTGATATTATTGTAATATAAATACTTCTTTAATGTCTAAAGGCATCAAACAAAGCTAGAAATTAAGTTTTTTCTCAATATCTGAGCAGCAGTAGTTAAACCGAGCTAATTCTCATACCTCTAGGACTATGCAAGCGGCATATGCTAGAGCATAATACGCTTCTGTGTCTGTAATACTTGGGTCTTCTCTTTGCTAGAACTCTGCTGCTGAGAATCACTCATGTATAAAAGGTAAAAAAGAGAGAAAGAGAGAAAGAAAGAAAGAAATGAAAAGGGCATCTGCTGATAAGCCACTTTCCTGGCATTACCCAGATAAGCATACCTGTAGCTGCTTCATCTGATGCAGCTGCAGCCGCAGATCCGACACATTGCGTTTCATACCATGCAGGCTGACTTGCATTGATGGGGCTCCAGCAGGGTGATGGATGACAGCTGGCTCCATAGTTGCCAACACATTCTTCGCCCCAGATATGTTAGCAGCGCCTGCAATAAGCAGCAGTACAGGTTGAGCTCACCAGCAGAGAAGGTGCAAACATGATCCTTTCTCTGCCCACTGAATCCACACTTATTTCACACAGATGGCCAAGAAAAGAAAATTACAGCTGCCAATGCTCAGTATTAACGGGGGACTGGCACCTCCTTATCCGATATATTTTGAGGGAAGACTGCACAATATCAGCGCATATCTGTGCCAAATCCTCAGCCATATCAGAGCACTGCATTACCACAAGACTGCTTCCTGCCACATGTAGTGGAGATGGGATAAAAAGCTATAACTGCAGATTACACAAAACAGCAGCAAATCAAATTGCTGCTGAAAGTAGCTTTGGGATTGTCCTCCTACGAGCCATCTGAGATCAAGTTGATGCAAATTCACAGGACTCCTGAACTGCATATTTGTTGATTAATTATCACTGGACAGAGATTCAGTCAAACTGCCAAGTGTAAAAATGGAGAACCTTGCTTTGCTGCTCAAAGTACAATTGCATTATTTCTATCAGGTGTCTCCAACAGCTACTGTATAAAACCAGAAGAGAAATTAAATGATGGTGTGGTAGAGAATTGCTCTCCAGCCATGTTGCATCCATCCACTCCCCTTTAGCCTGTCATTTATTCAAGACTCTGTTTACACACAAAAACACAAGCACAACACAAAAAAGTGAGCTGAGCCACACTCTCAGAATAACTGTCGGTGTCCTCACAAGACTGTCTTTGTTAAATAATGCTGCTGTTCTACACAGCATCAACAACAAGCTTGCTCGTTCTTTTCAGTCTCAAGTACCTGGGAAGAAGCCTTATTTACAGGGTATAAGCAAATTCCAGCTCATCAGCTAATAGTCATGTTACAGCTTCTTCTAACAATTTGCACTTACACACCCATATTCTTCAAATTTTCTTTCTAATATGTCCCTTCCCCTCCCCACCACCAACAGGCAAAATGACAGACTGTCAGTAGGACACACTTTATTTTCTGCAAGTCCAGCACTATGTAGCCCTGCATACTCTTCTGATAACAGTGCCAGTTCCACCTAGTCCCTTCGGCTTAGATGGCTGCACTCCCTGAACTACTGCATTATCAGCCTCTCACTACAAGACAGATGTTGAGGTGCTGGAGCGAATCCAGAGAAGGGCAACAAAGCTGGCGAAGGGCCTGGAGCACAAGTCTGATGGGGAGCGGCTGAGGGAGCTGGGGTTGTTTAGCTTGGAGAAGAGGAGGCTGAGGGGAGACCTGATCGCTCTCTACAACTACCTGAAAGGAGGTTGTAGCGAGGTGGGGGTCGGTCTCTTTTCTCAAGTAACAAGTGATAGGATGAGAGGAAACGGTCTCAAGTTGCACCAGAGGAGGTTTAGATTGGATATTAGGAAAAATTTCTTCACCAAAAGAGTTATCCAGCATTGGAACAGGCTGCCCAGGGAAGTGGTTGTGTGACCATCCCTGGAGGTATTTAAAAGATACAGAGATGTGCTGCTTAGGTACATGGTTTAGTGGCAGACTTGGCAGTGTCAGGTTTACGGCTGGACTCAATGATCTTAAAGGTCTTTTCCAATCTAAATGATTCCATGATTCTATTCTGTGATTATGTCATTCCCCACTTAATTTTCTTCCTTCTCTATGAGTAAAACAAAAAATCTGGGAAAATAGATGAGAAAACTCATCAATGGATCTGCACAGGGATTTTGGTCATCATTTGCTCCCACAGGCACATATTCTATCAAGTTCAATGAAATCAAACAGAAATGAGTGTTGTGAGCTTTTCTTTGCCTGTTGAAGGCAAATTTTCAGCGTACCAAAGGGCATGACACATTTTTCTGGCTGGCATGTGGTAAGTGGTAAGTTTTATCCCCACCCTCTCATCCCTAGTAGTCTTTTCAACCAGCAGTTTCCAAATGTGCCCGAGTGAGTACAGCTCAGCGTAACACCACATTGTTATTCCTTTGCCAACAGGTGTGGATACCTCAAATGCAGCCTTTGCAAAATTCATCTAGGGAAAGCATTTTTAAAGAATGGAAATTACACAAGACTATTTTTATTTAAAAATAGGCCAAAAGGTTTCACAAGAGTTATGTTTCTTGCTTTACCTATGTTTGCAATTCCTGTCAGTAAAAGCACAGGCCCCTCTGGCTGCACCCATGCTAAATATGGTGTGCCATGCCATAGACTTCTGGAGACATGTTCCGTTGTAATGCTATACCTTACCTAAATGTGCTCCAGCTAGATCTGCTCGGTGCTTCAACAACAGCACTTTTCATTTCACTGCTAAACAAGCTGCTGCACATTTTTGCTATACTCCAGTATGATTCAATGTTCTCTTGACTTTCAAAGAGCTGCTTAACAGAAAGCAACACTCAAGAAATAAACAGTCCTTGTTCACTGCCATTCTGTACCCACTCCATGCTTCAGTCTAATATATGCTAATACTTACCTGTCTACATGTACACTGCAGTTTTTCCTACAGTCAAACATCTATTTTCCTCCCACATACACTATTTTTTGCATTTTTTAAAGAAAAGGGTATTTAGTTCATAAACCCTACAGACAGAAACCACCAGAGAGTCTGAAAAATGTGGATAAGCCTCCAAGAGTTCTGATTCCTAGCCACAAATCTGGACTATTTTTGAAAACACATCTACCTTTCTGCTATTCTTTGCCTCAAGCAAAAGCTCCAAAACCTCAGCCCCTGACCCTGTGGTGATGCAGCCAAGGCATGAATCAGACCCCGCCAGTGTCTCCCCCCATGCTGGAGCCCAGTCAATTCACATATTTTCTCAGGAAGGGGTGCCTGCTTTCCTTTTAGCATAGATGGACTGTGATCTGCTTCTGTAAGTAGTAAATGTCTCCGACTCCCTACAAAGCAGCTTTCCTCCTCCTCTGCTGCCTCGGCCACCTCTTCTCACCCTTAGGTACTCTCAGCTTCCACGGTGTCCCTGCTGCAGAGTGTGCTCAGAACCTGTGAAGCACAATGTGGGACTCCCAAAGGAGTGTGAAACACACCCACACAACCACAGACACCAAGTGAACATGGGAGCGCAGTAAGGATCAGAAGCTGATTTCTGAGACATACGCATTTTCATCAAAAAGGAATAAAAGGGAAGTTGAATGAGGGGCTGCTTCATTTAGGGAGTATAGCTTGCTTTTGGAAATAGTCCCAGGCTGTAGCTTTTTGATTAGATGTGCAGCCAGATGGATTGAAGGGAAAGAAACAGCGTTGGCTCTCAGGTTCTTAAATAAACCCTTGCTGAAGCTAGGGAAGGGGGTCTGAATGCAAAACCACTCCATAACTCCCTAATACTCTGGACAAAAAACAAATGTTAACTTTTTTTACAAAGGCTAATGAACTAAGATGCCATTTTTAAAGTACAAAGAGAACTGATACACAGAAAGGGGAAAGGTTTGCTATTTGCCCAGGCTCTTGACACTTGACCTTTGCTATGGTTGCAAAGACATCACTCTCTTTCTGCTCTCCAGATTTTATTTTTCTTTCTAAAATGCTAAGATTTTATTTTGAAGCAAGTTAGAAAAAAGGCCATCAGAAGACACACAGCGATGTTTCTTCACAAATTACTCATCTTCTTACTAAAGAGCCACAACACTTTCAAGCATTGTTTGGGAAGACACATGATAGTTACTTAGTTCTCTTTCCATCCAGTTAGAATCCACTAAATAAACAGGCAAATGCAATGTTAAGGTTGCAGTTCCATCATTAACAATCTGTTATGAGCAGGCACTAATGCACCCTTAAAATAATAAAATATTCTATATGTATTAGTATGCAACTTCACCTCATTGATCCAGAATGAATTCAGGATCATGTTTTACCTGCAAACAGTAACAGAGTTCAAAGACTATCTTTGAATCTGAGATAAGCGAGCAGATATGCACAGTGTTTTTAATTCACAGATCATCACAGCAGGAGTCATGTGTGTGAAAAAGGCACACAGATATGCACAGATGACAAGACAGTTCACAAAGAGTGAGGAATCAAATCCGAGCCCTACATGTGTAATACTTCTCCCTGCTGCCATCTCCCTCTCTTGGTTTGCAGTGGCGGTGTTAGTGCAGAAAGACGTACTGCTTGATCCCTTTTCAGGAAATACTGAAATGTCCTTCTTCCTCTTCCAACAAGGCAGCAACTAGCAAAGAACTATTGCTTTTTTTTTTTTTGGTAATCCACGATACAACTGATCCCAATTTAATCAATGAATCCAGGATTTAATCTATCAATCTCACCACGTGATGAACAAAAATGTGACAGAAAAGAGAGTAGGTGAGTATTTCTCAGCATATTTGTTAGTAATCTCACAGAGATTCTTCCTAGTATGGTTTGGTTTTAGAGTCACATGCTGTTCCTAAGTGAAGAATCCCTTGATGCCATTCATTTTTGGTGAACTGAGAAGGTTATAAGGATTCAGTCATGGGATTTCTCCTAACATTAGTAGAAGAGACATGGCCAGTCTGTGGAAGGTTACTGCTCTTTGAAACCACCCCGCATGAAAGAACTGAGCCTAAAGCAATAAAACATAAGAAATGCAGACAAGCATGATTGTTACAGGCTCATTTTCCCCAGTGAAAAGGCATTTTTATTTAGGCTCCTTAATATTTGAGTCTAAAGAATCTGCTACAGACTGGCAAAGCAAAAACACGTTAAATACAACAATTTGGTTTATATGAAATACCAAACAGAGTATTCACAACCTAGCTATATAGGGTTATCCGGGATTCACAAATTTTGGTTTCTTTCCCTTTCCAAGTGAGCTAGTTCTCTATTTTCGGCATGAAAGTCTCCTATCATTGGAACACATACTATAAAATACAATGTTGGTTCAACATTGATGAGCCAATTTTATCCTGCACAGATGTTTTATTGTTCAGGATGGGAAGCAATTCACGTTCCTGCTTATCAGTTCTCTAGAAAGGACTCCTCAATCAACATTTTATACCACTTTTTCTTTCAAATAGACTTTGAAATTGCTAAAACTAGTATCTCAGTGCACAGTTGTCAAGTCGAATTGTATACTAAGAGAGTTGACTGTCTAAATGGCTATACTTAATAAGGATTGGGGTGAACTGAAGAACAAAACAGTGGTCAGCAGAAGTGTTTCTAGATGCTGTTGGCATGTTTAAACCCAAGCATATTTACAAAAAGGAGAAACTTTCTGCAGCATATTCTGGCAGATTGCCTAATTTTCAAGTAAGCAGAGACTGCATTGACTTCTTAGACCCTGTCACGTGTGATTTCAAAAGCAGGTGCAAAAGCAAAATATTCTATTATACAGGACTATTCTATTATACAATAGTCTTCAATAATAGCTGATGTGGGTTACAGTACTGTAGTATATTGAGGTCAGCATCACTGCTTGTTTCCCTTACCTGCTACAATTTAATTCTGTGGCTGAGTCATGCTGGAAGGACAGGATTTAGGGATGCAGATGCTGGAGTTACAACTATACTTAATAGCACTGATAGGGATCCTTGCAGAGGGCTGGCTGCATGACTGGCCCTACTGCCCTATCTCTGTCTCCCAAGTAATCAGAAAGGCATCTATTGCACAACCTGAACGCTACTATCCTTACTTACGTGCTGGATACAGTTGTGGCCGTTGACAAAGTCAATGTCTCTTTCAGTACATGACAGATGCTGATCTGCTGTTTTGACAGTAAATTACACACACAAACACACGCCATGCTTGGACATGCAACTGTCACGTAATTTTGCCATTTCAGAGACATGCATTCAGTCATAGGATAAGGTAGTGAGTGAGGAGTCTTTGGCAACAACAGTGGCAGGAAAAAGTTGTTGATCAGATGAACCATGCTATTCTGGTGGGCTGGGCTTGACTTCCACACTGAGGAAACCCCACCTTCACTTTGTGTAGGGCCGTTTTCCCAATGAATATTATTCCATTTCTCATTTCATTGAGAGCACATTCACACAGGCACACATGAATCACTGGATAATTTAGGTTGAAATGGACCTCTGGATGTCATCTGGTCCAAAGTCCCACTCAAAGCATGGCCCACGTGGATCAGGATCTCCAACTGAGTGCCTCCCACAAAGTACTTATCTGAATTAGCACAAACACAGGGAAAGCAGGAAGGCCAAACAGCAATACAATATGAAGAGGAACACAAGGCAATGTGTGTGCAGGTTTTGATGCTTTCATAAGTGACCTATATGAGACAAGGTCTATGCAAGTGGGAAATACCATAAATTCTCAGTGTATAATGACACTGAAATAGGGAAAACTCTAAGAGCATTTTGCAGTTGTTTTGAAAAATGATGGAGTTTTCATTAAGTTGTCTGAAACTGATAAATTACAACTTATTTCTTCACAGGCTTAAGTATTGCTCTCCCCATCCAGGGGCCAGCAGAAAGAGAATAGTTGGAATGGGACCAGAAAATGGCTTGGAAGCAAAGCTCCAGTATCAGGACCCGAGCTCTTTCTCTTTTACGTATGTTTGATAGTTTTCTGGTCTGGTTTGATTTCTGGCGGTTAGAGGGATACATTGCAATTCCGGATAAACGGGAATCCTGAAGTCAACTAATAGCTCCAGCAGAAAGGCGAGTTAAGAGCATAATAGATTTGCTAATAAATGTGTGTGGTTTACTACCTGCCTGAGCACAGACCTCCCTGTGGGAACAGCATTACAAGGAAGTAGGGAACTGCCTTTATTTGCATTCAGTGCATGACAAAGGGCGAAGAGGAGGCATACAAACACACGCACACCCTTCAGACATCTCCAGCAGCAGCCCATACACAAAGAGCTCCAATCACAAGGAGATCTTCTTTCACAATAGCCTTAACTCTATCTTTTAAACACTTAACAGCTCTCTAAGTGGGAAGCTAAAATAAGACCAGCTCTTGTCTTCATAACTGATGTTGCTCAGAACAGTTTAGGTGCCTGCTAATAATTAGTAACAGATCAATACGGCTTAATTAGGAAAAGTACTATCTTGCTGACTGCTAAATTCCTTAGTGTCATTACATCCATAGCATCCTACTGACAGAAGAACCTTAGAGAAAAGTTCAGGTGACCAGAATAGGAATGAAATATTTAGCTTTCTACAGCAATCTGGATACATCTGGGGTTAATGATAGATACATACTATAGATGGGATGAGTCACTGGAAAATTCACCATATGCGGAGACTTGGTGGCATTGGGTATACAGTTGGACTTGATGATCTTTGAGGTCTCTTCCAACCATAATGATTCTATGATTCTATGACTCTGTATCTCATTTAAACCATTCAGCACAAGTGTGAAATTCCTTCCAAAGACCACCTCAACCACTCAGAAATTCCTCTCTCAACAAAGATGTGATCGACTCTCATATCCTGAACTTAAACTTCAGTTCTGGCAGTATAGCTATGGGAATTTAAGTATATTTGACGTTTCCATAAGCTCGGGTGGTAGTAATGTTAAAGCTATTCATACACCTGAATAATTTGTAAATTAGAAGCAAATGATCTTACCGGCAGTGTCAATGCTGCTCTTGCTGGGCACAATTTTCAACATCATCTTCTCACTAAGTAATAAAAAGAAAAATAATTTTAACTTACTAACAATAAAACTGTAGTAAAGTTTATAATCAGCAAATTAAATGGCCTTGTCTAGCATATATATTTTAAATTTAAATCACCAGTAGCTTGTCAGTTGTTTTTTTTAAATCAGTTTTTAATACAAGTTAAACAAGGAATGGAATATAAGCAGTAGAAAGCACAGAGATGTAGCTACATTAATTCTTTTTAACACAAAGAAGAGTAATGCAGTTAATCTCCATCTATCATTTGGCACATTCTTCCTCTCTGCCTAGCATTCTCATGGGGATGATAAAGATATTTAAAAATGATTGAGCATTCAGGGTTTTTTTACTATTACATTCAAATACTATTTTTGTTGATTGGTTACTAAAATCATTACAGAGAAACAGATTTAATGAATTCTTTTTTTACCTAGAAGCATCTTTGCTATTACTTGTATTTGGCCCTTTAAAAAGCGCAGACTGAACAAGACCAGTTAAACTGGCAATCTGTTTCTCCATGGCTTGTATCCTCTCTCTGTAAGACAAGAGAACCGTTTGTTAAAGCCAGATATATTTGCTTTCAGACTTGTTTTTCTAGGTGAATGATTACCACAGGTTTGGAAAGACACTACAGAGTTTGTTTAAAGGCCCATGGGTACCGGTTTGCATATACCTTGTTGCAGCAGCTTACCGCATCTTGGTTTGGACAGCTTTTGTATGGTAACAGACAATAAAAAAGACATCTGCTTGGTTAAAAAAGAACAGATAATAAACTTCTAATGATCTCACGAGAGAGGCACCTATAATAAACTTCTAATGATCTCACGAGACAGGCACCTAAAACAATGAGTTAATGCCTCTTAGAACTAGTGAAAATAATTTTTTTTCAGCATTACATATATTTTCTCTTTTCCCTACCCTGGGCCAATAGTTTTGCGTGTATATAAGGTTTCAGGATTAAAGACTTTACACTTCTTCTTGTTACTATTTTCACGTTCCCCAAACCTAGGATTTTTGTCTGTGAAGCATTTCATCTGCCCAAGCTGACTACTTCCCAGCCCAAATCCCTTGCACCTGACATTGCAACTGTCCGCTTTGGAAAGGACAGCAATGTGACAGACAGACACAGGACACCAAATGCAGACTGTACAGCAACATTCATAAAATAGATTTGTTTTCATGCGCGTATTCTGAGAAATTCCTAAAAAGCAGGGGGAAAGAGATGAAGAAGAATTCTTATAGGTATGGTCAGTGTTTTTCCATAGGTACCAAAGGCCACTAAACAACAACAATTACTTTTTTGGATAGGAAGGCCAACATTTCTGTGTTTGTCTGTTTACATAAATGCATATATTAGTCAGGTACTAGGTGACTTCCTTGGTGGGCTGCAAAACAGCCTTTTGTTCACACAGATGCCTACTTTCACATGCCAGTATGTCAATGACACATCACAACATAGACACACATCAATATGGGACCTCAGACAGGACCTTCTGAAAATATGTCCCTATATGCCAGCAGCTGAATGACCAGGGAGACACACAAAAGCATATGCCAACAGTGGGCTGTGATTTTGGAAGATGACTGGGAACAAAACTTCTCAAAAAGCAAGTGACTAAGACCAGCAGTGATGACTGAAGAAAGAAGGGTGGGACAGACACACGCAGCCCCAGACTCAGCCTGCTGCATGGGCCATCCATCACCACTGCAGTGTCCTGGGCACATGGGAGCAGGCGAGCTCTGGCCACCCCCAGCTCCAGTTGTCATTTGGTGGCCAAAGCAATAATGCTAATTGGTGAGGGCCATATAAACTCAAATGTAGGTACCAATACCAGACAAAAGCAAGCTGACATGATACAAAGCGAGTAACCAGACCAGCTTGCAGCCAGTCAGATTATCCAGGCTTATTATTTCATTCACATTCAGAGAATGAAATAGAGGTTTGCTGGGCTAGCATGCAGATACCATAGCCAGGAGAGACTCCGAAACACTCAGACATTGAGAACACAGGGCAGCAAAACAAGTAATGAGATGCTAACAAACACAAGGAGGGAAGAAGAGTGCTCAGTCAGTCTCCAGCCAGCAGATCTGTTCTTACTGCGATTTAATACAGCGTGTGTGTCTTAACTTGTCTGTCTTCACATTGAAAGGTATTTTGAATGGTGATGTGAAGACTAGAGAATCTGGCCTAATTCCTTTCAAACCAAGAAATACGTTACAGAATTTCCACTATTATAAGTTTTAAAATAAGAAACTGGTTCAGGCTACAGTAACCTTTGGAACAAAAACAAGTACTAAAAGTCTGGGATAAATATATTCTAACAAACTTTAATGCAGCATTTTTGACACTTAATAATGAAAACATTTTTTTTTCCCAGATAATCATCACAAGCCCTTCCTGGAACTAAACTCAATTGCAAGTCTATCTGTTTTACTAATTCATAAATATGACGTTTTTTCCATCCCACATTCGATAATCTGGAAACAATTTTCTGCTTCAAAAGAGATTATGGCAACACAAAGCTGATCTTGTCCTTTGCCATGAAATCTAGGAAAATATGTTGTTAAGAGGGAGAAGGATGTTCCAGAGATAGGAGATGATGAAAAACGAATGAAATACTGGAATCAATTGCACAGAGCACATTATTTTTCATATGGTAAAAGCATTAAGAATGTGAAGAATCTACATGTGCTCTGGAGTCACTCCGTTAAAGACAAGGCAGGATTTTTCCTGTAATCATTTCACTGTAAGACCCAGACTTATTATGGCCACCAGCACCAAACATTTAAAAAACAGGTGTCTGAAAGAAGGCACCTTTTAGACATTAAATAAAACAACCTGATTTTCAGAGACCTGGCGGTCCGACTGAAGGTGGTGGGAGGCAGCATGCTCCAGCGCAGGCAGGGAGGGACATGGCCGGCCTGGTGGCGGGGCCGTGCCCTGGGCTCACGTGGCCGGAGGGCTAGTGGCCCAGTCCTGCCGCCTGCCACACGGCCCCGGGAGGAAAAGGGCTGTGCTCTGCAGCCACCCCCTTCCTCTCCAGCTTCCCTGTGAAGGCCTGGAGCAACCTGGGCTCCGGAGGGAGAAAATAAATGCTTTCTTCAGCCTGTGCCAGGCCGGGGTCTGTCAGGGATGCCGGCCCTGTTCTGACAGTTGTACATTTTTGGTTCTCAGCACTATATTCTCTATCTCTCACTGTGCTCCCTGCTGTGGAGAGGGGAGGTGGGGGAACAGCCTGCCCTGCCATCCCTTCCGGGCAGGCTGGGGTCCGCACAGCGTGGGGCAGGCTGGTGCTCCAGTGACATGGGGCCGGCCGGCACTCCAGTGAGATGGGGCAGGCCAGGGTTCCCAGGGCATGGGACAGGCCAGCACTCTGGTGACATGGGGCAGGCTGGGGCCCCCGTGGAGAGGGCTGGAGCTCTAGGAGAGAGGGTCAGGCAGAACAAAACACAGTGGTGCCTCTTTGACGGCAGTGGTAGCACGAGAAGGCCGAACCCTGTCCCTGTTCCCAGATTAATTTCCCAGATAAATCTGCATCTTTCCACCACCCAGGAAGAGCAGGGAGGGTGCCTTCTATAGCAGTTAGGAAAGAAATGGCTATTTTATCAGCCTGAGTACAGAAAGGCATTGTTTCACATTGTTTTCATTTGAATACTGGGAGAGTCAGAGGTGGTAGCATGGTGGGGGAGGAAAGGAGGGGACAAGGTCAGATGCGACTCCCAGCTCTAGCAGGCCTCTCTGTCAGACTTGGCTTTGGCTTGTCACAGACCTTGGCTAGCAAAGCAGGCACGGGCTGCCCGCCAGCCCTGTTCTCCCCAGCAGCCTGATCTACAGCCCCAGCCCCAGCTATGTCCAGGCATGGGGGCGCTGCCTTAGCATCTCGCTCCCCAAATTCAGCAGAAGCAAAACAGGTCCTTGCTTCTCTGGGGACTGTGCACCGAGACATCAGATTTCAACACCAGATTTCTTCCTTACAGCTTCACTGAGGTTTCATGTCATTCCCTCTACTGCAGTTAACTGGAATTAATCCCAAGCAGGGTACAGCGTATTGTTGAATTAGTACCCACTTCTCACAGCAATGCTATTTAAGCGTGACTTGCATGTTCCTCCCCTTTCCTGGGGCCATCTTTAATATTCACATCACTGAGAAGATAGTTTGTACAGACATAAACTAGAACTAGGCTGTGTAACTGTTCATTCATGTTCCTGTCCAACCCTAGGCTGTGCAGCACATCATCCATAACAGATGTACTCAAATACCAGGTCTGGCACCATGAACTATTTGGTACACTATCCTTGAGAAAGATTTTCAGTGACTTCATATTTTATAGTTAAACCCTGAGTGAAGTCTGTATAGTAAACAAAAAGAGAGTCAGAGACAGGGAAAAATACATTTCTTTCTATATTACCTATGAGAGAAACATTTCATTAGAAATTTTTTCATCTCACTGGGAAAAGAAATGAAACATGAGTAGGTTGTCTTTCCCAATGGCTTCCGTAGAACCAAGTGAAAGTGGCACAGTCAGACTTTACCCCAAAGTCCCCCCAAAACAGCAGAGTGGATATCCTGGAAGGGTGTGAAGCAAAGAGGAGCAGAACTCTTCTGTACTCTCCTCTCCTCCCAAGGGAAAGATACACACAGGCGAATATTTCAATCTTCTAAGAATAAGGTTAAACTTAAACTTTACAGCTTGAAGCTAAAGGGAAAAGGGAAGTTCTGAAGCACTGCCAGCTGTGATACTGTTTGACAACTCTTTTCCAAGAGCCTGCATCTCATCTTCCTACAAACAATTCCTCCAACAGAAGGAAGCAGAAGTGCAGTTTACCTTTCCTTTATCTTGTATTGGTAATTTGCATTCATCTTTTTCTGCTTGGTTATTTAACATCTTTCACAAAGGAAGACGCAATTTTGGCCCTGTGGAAAGTGTCTGAGAGGGTATATCTGTGAAGTCCACCTTTCTTATACAATTCTCAGTGCATTGTTGATAGTCTCCCACTGTCCATGACTTTACAGAGTATGACCATTTTTCCCTAATGCATAGAGAGTCCATCCATACTTTAACATATCAAACAATAAGGTGTTTTTTATGATGAGAACAATAACCTACACATGGCCATTACACTTTAGTCGTGAACTGCAAGCCACAAGCATGAATGAGATCACATTTTTTGCTCAGTTCTACCATCATCTTTTGTCACTAAAGTGGCATAAAAAGAAGAGGACAAAAGTGGTGTTCAGGCAGAAGGGAAGCACAGTATACTCCTGAAATGCTTTTGGAGGAAAAATGTTCTATAGAGCTATCTTGCTATTCTAAGGATTGTATTTTAGTAAGTAGCAGCATTTATTATATACATATTCAGCACTATCAAATAACCTAGAATTTTGCAACACAACATGTTTTAAATGCAAAGAATGTAAGTTAAATGGCATTTAAATTAATGCACTTTTGTGTAAACAGCTTCTTTCCCGATTTATGAACATTTAAATATCTACTTTGCCTGTAGTAACCTCCAGAACTGTCCACCATAAGCTAGAGAAATGGGCCATCCAAAAATATGATAGCAAATCACTGCTTAAACAACTCATGCTCACTCACAAAAATTTACTCATTCTTCTTGTACGCCTCAGATTTAAGGGGTGATGACCCCTCGAAGATGAGTTGTTGCAACCTGTTATAACTTCTAATATTTTTGTGCATATGAATACTAACATATTTTATTTTTTTTAAATCTCCATGAACTTGTTTCTTCTCCCTGTTGAAAAGAGCTTTATATAGAACTCTTCTGGTAAATGAATTACTTCTGAATTATTCTGTTAAATGAAAATGTATTCAATGCTTTATACTGCATAAGTAGCTACCTTGAAAACACTTGAGGTAAAACAAATACAAGAAATAATTACATGAAGCAATTAATCCCCCTCAACTCTGGCTTAAATAACAGGCTTGACAAGACTGGCTTCCGCAATGCAAAACTAAAATGGGAAACTCCAAAAGAAGAGATCAGATGGGAAATAATCAGTTTTTATCTTTTGTAGACCCAAATCTGCTGCAGTTAACATTCCAAAGCTAATGGACCCATTTTCTTGAACAAAATCAGGATACGGTCAATGACAGGTCTGATCTGCTATAAGTACCCAACATATTCTGATAAAGTACACATATATCCCACTTCAACCCCAGCCTAGAAAAACTGAAGAAGAATTAGCAGGGGAAGAGAGATTCAGTTTAACTTCTGGCATTGTCACTATCCATTTTAGTCTTTTTTCTGACTTAAACTATGCATTGTCCGGCGGTTCTGACAGTGCTGCTTCAAGGTAATTTCCACAGAGAGATGGCACAAGAGATATTTTCTTTGTTCTCAGCACACCCCACTAGGGACTGAAGGAACAACAGTGCTGAGGTGATGGGTTTGATGCTTGCAGGGTCCTCAGTAAGTCAGGATGGCAAGTCTCTCTTGTCACAGTGCACAAATGCAAAAGACCGCCCTGCTCAGCTTCCCTAAGGCTAACGGATACTCAATCTGCCCTTTGGCTGCTACCCCACACCTGACACCATCTACATGCAGGCTGACTGAACACACCACCATTTGCTTTTCTGTGGCCTGGCTCTTTGCACAGCCATCAGCAGGTGGATAATGTGCATGACAGAGCAGCATACACTTCATTTTACCATGCCTGGAAGAGGATGAATTCATCCCCATCTCTCCAATCCCAAAATATTCTTACTCACAGAAGCAAGCCCAGCTGTTCCGCTTAGGAGTGTAAACTGTAAGTCCTAGACAACAAGGTATGGGATATCTTTCTACTATTACATATGTCACTTTTCAGGTGTTCATAACAACCTTGTAACAATTCAGCCCTGCTGAAGCAGAAAAGTGCACCTCAGCCTGGATACCCTTAGTGTTCCTTGTTTAGTTTAGTACAATCTGAACAGTGTTTGCTTTCAAAGTTTATGAACTAATTACAAAGCTAAAGTAAGACTTAGAGCATTTTGTGTCTGTAGAACTCAAACCCAATTCTTAATATTGCAGTGGTTAGAAAACACACCAATTTGTATGAATTGCTTTTGATATTTACAATCATTTTTAAAAAGTCACGCTTTCTCAGGGTTAAAAAAAAGCCACAACCCATAACAGCAGCTTTCAGAATGATTTTTTCAGGGCCATGTGGCTAATACACCACCACCAATTTTAAAGTCATGTTTTTATTTGGAAGTGTAATTATGCAAATGCTATTTTCATCACTGTAAATATATTCTGAGACCAGGACTAAAACTCCTGGTGCAAAGCTCCCCTTAAGGAGCTGCAGAACTATCTGTATAGTTGCTCTTTATATACTTACAAATACACAGCCTTGTGCATGCCTGTGTAGCTGAGTGAACAGATGAGATGCCCAGAGGGGAGAGAGAAAGTCGCACAGGCTGGAGAGTTGTTGGTGTCCTTCCTTATTTTCAACCCCCTAATGTGAACCTTGTAAAATTTTTGATCTGAAAGCTATCTCTTGGATTAGAATTGGCAAATACAGTTCAAATTATTTCCTAGTTGTAATAATGGAAACTTGAAATGAAATTTCAGGTACCTGCGTCTTTTTCTTGGAAATAAATAGATACAAATCAGGTTTCACTTACTTTATATTGCAATATGCCCTAACTCACACCCTTGTGTCAACACAACTACTAAGCTATAAGCCCATAATTTCTGTGGATGGCCGATTTTCTTCTGTCCTCCATTTTGTCCCCACCAATGGACCTCAGAACACATCCTTTTTTCTGGCCAAGTGTGGTCAGAGGCAAATAATTGTTGAGCAAGTTGCTCAGGTGGAAGGGAAGTTTGGGGCCTATATGAAGCTCCATATCTCCCCAGTAGTTAAAGCAGTCAGCAGTCACCTTTGGCCTCTGTGAGCTCAGCATTTTCCAGCTATTCATCTTCACTTCCCTAAAGAGCTCTATAAAAGTAACAGCACAAACAATACGCTAGAGATTTGCGCAGCTCATACAAATACACAGCAACCCACTGGCAGTGTAACAATTTTTCTCTCCTAGGACAGGGTCTATGACAGGAGAAGCCTTCACAGACCTTTGCGTAAATCTGGTCCTTAAAAAGACAGGAGAGATCATTGTCATTATTGTCAGCACACAAAAGTTAACAGTCAGGTCACCAACTCTTTGTGGTATTGGAAAAATCATTGGGAACAGCATTCATGTTTCAGTTTCTTCCCTGGGACAGACTTGCTCTTCTCAGCAGTTTCCCCTCAAGGAACATTATTATAAACAACTGTCCTATTTTTATGCAAATTCATGTTTTACAGGAGATAAGACAGTAATGATAAATTCTTCCCATTTCCTAACACTAGATGAGAAAAACTCCACTCCATAAAGAAACAAAATTGTAATATCAGAGTGTCATTCTTAACGGGGGTGAAATATATTCCCTTATTAGCAGGAACAGAACATAATTTGTTCTTGTAACATGGGCTGGTTGTCTGGAAAGAAAAATCCTAGTTAATCATTTTATTTTATTATATTTTTTCCAATGACTGAAATTTACACAAATGAAAATAACTAGGGATTCATCATGGGTTGACAATACTTTCAGATTAATAACGGGTGGCATCGCATCTCCTTTAAATTACTAACTACCTTGACGGACAGCTAATAAACACTGCAGCCCAGTGCAGCAGCCTCCTACACATTGCATTGTCCCCTAGGTGCTAAACAACACAAGACCACAAGACGTGCCGATTAGGAATGTTTCTCATTTGCATAAATTAAGCCCTGGCTCTGCCTTACCTTGTCTCTTTGTCCTTGGGCATCACAGGTGACCCGTAGCCAAAAGCCTGCTTGTCAACCGGAGAGGGCACAGCCTCGGCCATGCCCGGGAGGCCGAAGGCGCTCCGTGCTTTTGTGTCCACAAACACAGGTGGTCCCGGCTCCTTTTTGAAGGACTGGCGGCTGGGGGAAGACCTGTCAGGCTGGATGGTGTGGGGGGGAATGTGAGTGCTATGGTGAGGATGAATATCGATCATTCTCATGTCAGCCACCCTGTGGGGTGAGGCAGGAGGCGTTTTAGAGCCGAGAGTGGGCAAGTGGCTCTCTGGGTACTTTCGTGACTTTTGTCTGTACAAGGACTGCTCCAGCATTTCAGGCTGCATAGAAGGGTTGCAGTAAGTGCTTGATGACCTCATGGCACTGCGATGGTAGGCTACAATGTGATCAGGGACATCGAGGGGGTGTCCAGAGTGGGGTGCAGCCACACTCATCCTCCCCTCATGAAACAAGTAGGGGTCACCGTACAGACCTTCATTTCGAATCAGGGCAAGGTTTTTGTTACTCATGTCCTCATCTGGCTTCACGTCCCGTCTCTCCAAAATGGCGCTTGGGCTGGGTGATATTGAGCGCGAGGCTGGCACGCTGGAGAGCCGGTCCCTGGGGATGGTGGCGTTGCCTGGCACAGCCATGGGCCGGCCCCCGCCATAGGGAATCCTGGACGGAGAGGGAGGCATGGAGTGGGGCACTGGGGTGGAGGGCGGAGAGCTGGGCATTGCGTGCGGAGGGTGAGTGGCAGATCCGGGGCGGGAAGCACTTGGCCCATCTCGGCCTGTATAAGCAATTTCCCTCTGCATCTGGAAAGAAAAGGAAAAACATGTAAGATACAAAATTACTGAATGAACAAAACATGATGTAGTTGTGACAACCTTCATATCTACAAAAAAAAAGGGAAAAAACCCAAACCCTCAAGATCAAGTAATTCGTCATCTGCATAAATAAAACACCTTGGGATCTCAGTGCCTAAAGAAAATAACAACTATAACCAGCAATAAAATGGGCTGCATGTTAAGGGAATATAAGAGTTTTAAAAATGCTTTTACTCACGCAAATACCATCTTGCCCTCATCTGATATTCACAGCTACCGAAGCTGAAATCAGGGGTTTCAGTGCCAGGTGTTCTAAGCACACGTACTCAGTGACAGACTTAAACAGTTTATTGATCAGACACATAGGCTAGAATTCATTGATTCCAAACCAGGAAGGAAATGCTGATGCTCTGGCATCACAAACAGACCTGAAGTCCTTAGACAAGAAAAATAAATATTAGAACTAATTGGCCATTTTCTTCAGTGTAGGATTTAGCCTTTTGCTAATAACTTGATGTGGTCTTTATTACAGAAAGGATACATAAAGCATAGGAGAACAACACACATGAACATTTATTGACTGTAATACAGTCAATTCGCATGAAAACAGTTTGACGCTATAAAACATATGCCATCAGTTTCCTTCATTTCAAAGATAACAGTGCTTCAGACAGTTTGTGGAGCACACACTCAGAAAGTCACCAAACATTTCATCGTAGTTTTGTAAGCAGCAGCAGTAACTTCCAGCAGTAAGGAATGAGTAAGCAAGGAAAAGAAAGGGAAAACTTCCACACCAACGTATTGGTGCTTTGTCAACAGAGGCCTTGGCAAAAATCTGCAATGGATACATGTGCTTCTGAGACTGTAGCATCTCACTGCCCAGCAATGACCTCTCTAGATGGCTGAACACTGTCAATGACAGACACAGGAGAAATTCTCCCTCTAGCAAGCATCATGTACCTGCTCTGGTACCTTTAGGGTAAGGCAGATAAACAGGGAGACGAAAAAGTCGCTGGGTTCCACCAACTATGTAAGAAAAAAAATTACAGATTCTAAAATTTGTGTGGGCAATTTTGGCTTCCCTCTCTATCACTTCCAATGGATTGTAGAAAACTGAGCATCACCAAGCCAGACTACATGTCTCTAAAGTTACAGAGCACACACTAATATGCAGTAGAAGTTGCTGATCTGAAATCTTCACCATTTTTCTCCCTTCTCACTCCTTGCTTTGACAATGTGACTGGATTCATTGCAGTTGCAGTGATCCATGGCTAATGAAGCAAGAAATTATATTCTGTTGGTGCTCTACCACAGGTTTTTCCACTGGTAAGGGAATTGCGATGGCGGTATATAAACAATAGCTGCTCTCATCACGGGAGGTTCCACACTTGGGAATTACAAATGATGTTCCCCAGGGCCAGAGATCAAAAGTCTGGAGTATCAGGTATCAGAAAGAAGAAAGGCGATAACCTGATTGTGGCAGCAGCAATAATAAATAAGTGCAACAGAACAAAAGAGTGCACGGGGATGGGTCAGGAATGAGCCAGACAAAAGTCATCAAGCCAAAGGGGAACATGGGATCATTTTTTCTTTTGCACAGAGATTTACTGTAGTCTGGAATTTAAAATAAAATATAAATAAACAGTATTAATAAAATTATCAGTGGGTATTCAACATAGTTTTCTATAGACTTGAAGAAACACTGCAACATACTGAGCTGTATTGTGTGTTCAGACTCTGGACCTGGGCCAGCAGAACAAAAAGATTCCTACTGACTTGAGCAGCTTTGGGATCGTGCCGCCAGGGATAGGCAGCCGCAGATGTTTTGCACTGAGAGACAGGCCCGAAGAAAGAAAATCCTTCTTGGTTTCTACTGCACAAGCTATACCATGCCCTGTTTAGTTGCTTCAGCTAAAGCTACAACAGATACAATAGTATCTGGCACAGAAACTGTAGACACTGGGATACGCTGGGTTGCAGTGAGAGGAAAATTCCAACGGTACCTTGTAGAAAGGAGAAAATTTCCATGGGAAGCTTTGAAAGCAACGGGTTTAATTTCCCCTGACTTCTGGACTTCATATTCCTGTATATGCTCATTCATAAGTCAAAGAAATCTGTCAAAGAAAAATTCCTATTTTCCACCTTAATGTATTGCCATACATTAAGATGGAAATGAGGAGTTCAAATACGGGGCTGAGTTATTTATTGCTCAAAACCCTGTATCTGAGTATTGGCATATATAACGCTATTTACTTTTGCTTTAAAGCAGCACTTGGAGCACATAGCCCAAATCAAGACTCCATTGGGCTGGGCAGGGTACAAATGCCTAGGCAGGCAACCCCTTCCTGCAAAGTTCACTTTCTTTTTTAAGCCATGACTCAGCCCCTGGGTGAGGCATGCAGAAGGGGAGAGCAGTCGGAGCCACCCAGCCCAGGGTGCCCAGGGCAGGTTCACCGAGGCGTGTGGGCTGGGCAGGGACATGAACTGGTGACCAGGAGCCAGGCAGCCTTACCGGCTGGATTACAGTCTCTTCTGCCACCTGGTCGATAGTTTCTTTTTCCAGTTTTCTCTCTTCTCCAAAATCTCCAGATTCTTTGCTAATGGCAACTTTAAAAATGTGAATGATGGTGTCTTCTTGATTCTCATCTGTGCATCTTCTGTGTGATATTCAAGGTGCACTGCTCTCTCTTATATATACCTCACTTTCTGTGCTGCATTTCTTCTTCTGTCCTCCACCGCAAAAACCCCCATGTTGCTCAATGAAAACATGTACTCGAATATGCAGGCTGTCTTGAGCCATATGTTCTTGGCCATCAACTGTATGACTCAGAGACAGAGAAAGAGGATATTGGGCTTATCTGAGCCTCTAAATACTAGGTGCTATCACAGCCAATTGCTTTGAGGGCAAAAGGAAGAAGGTTTTTTAGTGCCAGCATAGGATCATGTGCTTTTTGGCTGCAGCCATGTAATACGTTTGCCTGAGGGTGTGGTTTCCTTTAACACATAGCTCTTCCTTGTTCTTACTGCCTGCAGACTTTACATCCTTGAAATAGAAACTTGTTTTGTCAATCCTTAGGTTAAAATATGGCCAATGGCTAGCAACAATTTCTGCATAAGACATTCGAGGGGAAAAGGCATCACTAAGAATCTTTCAGTTTCTGTAGTAATAAAGATGACACCATAATTAAACATCTTCTGTGGAGGTTTTCAGTCAGTCTAACAGCACTTAAGTCTTAAAGATACGTATTTGGAATTTGTTAAAAACACCAATAGAGACACTGAAGAGTGTCTCTATATAGTGAAGAGTGAACATAATATAAAACCAGTTCTGTTCTTTGTTTCAAAGGTAGTTGGCATACTCTATAACTTGCTGTATTTTGACTATGACTATATGCAGAAAGGTAGCAAACCACCTATCCATCCGCCCAAATGGATGACCTTATAGAGTCTTGCTCCTGGTAGCTCACATCAAGGGTGGGCAGACCCAGCCTCTGCATACAGCAGAATACAAAGCTTATGGCAGCTCCTGGCCTCTCAAATAGCACGGCTCCCCTGAAAGGACAGAGTTGTGGTATCATAAGCCTTATGGATAGCAAAGAGTAAGCTGCTATTCAGTGGTTCAACAGCTAGTGATTTCTGCAGTCCAGCCCAGTCTGTCTTGCTGTCCATCAGGACCAAGACAACACTATGCTGATCTTGATTCTAAATTTGTTAGGGCTGTCCCATCTCATAGGTCACTCTTGTGGTCTGTCCCAACATGGACTTCTCACAATGAAGAAACTATCCTTACTTCTGTCTCTCCAGCTGCCTCGACACATCATTTGCATCTGTGGCACAGACCAGACAGGGCACATGCAGCCATGCCTGCACGCACACCAGGGCAATGCCAGCTAGCACTAAGCACTAGGCCTACCACTGATTCATCAGCACTACACCAACCCTTCACCTCACCATGCAGGTGGGTACCAGCGGTACAGCCTGACTCATGCCATTATCTGCTAACATCCTGTAGCAAAACACAGGCAAATGGAAAAGCTTCTGACCTGGCAGCCCTTCCCATTGCTCTCCCAGGCCTCATCTATGTCAACAGAGAACACAGCAACTGGCTTTGCCCCAACAATTTCAGCCTACCAAAATACCTACACGTAACGTGTTCCCTGGATGAAGGTTATCCATGCACCCTCTCAGAGACACTCTGGAGTTCCCAGCAGACTCCATTAATCACCTCTCAGGCACGAGAAGCTGTTACTTTTCTTACTCTCCCGTTGACACCCTGCCTTTCCCTGAGGAAACGGCACGTATGCTCCTCAAGCTGGCTCACCCAGCAGTAAACAGAGGATACCTCCAAAGAATTTTTATTGAAAGCTTCGAGAGTCTTTGATGAAAAAGCTACAGAAATGCTAAGTACTGATACAATACTGATAAATTCATCCGTCTGTAGAGAGACCTTTTATGGAAATTGCTCAACAGAAGAAAATCCTCTAAAAAGTTAAGCAATCTTTCACTTTTATAATCAGAAAAGACTTAATTAAAGAATCCCAAATCCAACAAGAATACAATCCATTAGTTTGTTCTTTCCTCATAAAAATAAATTGATACTTTTAATGTATTAGTTGTCCAAAAACCTCAGTTTAATCCGTAGTTGCACTATACGGTACCACTTCTGTCATGACTGATCTTTCATTCAGGTTGGTTTTAGACAGCTGAAAGCACAAATCTGCTTTTGCAAATATGGTTTTAATATTTCTAAAATAACATCATTCACAATAAGAAACAGTGCACTTGAAAATTACAGTATTGGTAAACAGTCTGAAAATGAAATTTTTTAAGTATCTGTACCATGACTATCTGTCTGACACCAAATCCTTATGTTATCAGACATCACTGAGAGGTTGTCACACCTGTCTGTTCTTGCCTTCTCATAGCATGCCTTTTAATTCCTATAAATTTCCCCATTCTGTTGGGTCACTACAGAAAAAAAACAGGCG